GGATGGGATCAAACGTAAGTTAGCAAATTAAACTGTTACAATAAATACACAAAAGATAGAGAAAGGAATTTAAGCAAACCGCTAAAGAAAGTCATCAAACCACACAGGAAGAGAGGAAGAGAAGAAGGGAGCAGAGAGGAACTATAAAAATAGCTAGAAAATAATTAACAAAATGGCAATAAGTACACACCTATCAATAATTACTTTATATGAATTACATTCTCCAATCAAAAGACACAGAGTAGATGAATGGATATAAAAAAAAAAAGCCGTCTAAATATGCTGCCTGCAAGAGACATGCTTTAGGTGTAAGGACACACATAAATTGAAAGTAAAGACAAAATAAAAGATATTGCATGCAACTGGAAACCTAAAAAAAAGCTGGAGTACCGATGCTTATATAAGACAAAAAGAAGGGTATTACATAATGATAAAGAAGTCAATACAACAAGAAGATGTAACTGTAAAGATTTATGCACCCAACATAGGAGCATCTAAACATATAAAGCAAATACTAATTGACTTAAAGGGAGAAATAGACAGTGATACCATAGTAGTATGGAACTTTAATACCTCAGTGACGTCTGAAGAAGAGGGTGATCTTGTGAGACTGAGCCCTGTACCTGCGGAATCTGATTTCATCTCCAGACATTTCATTCTCAGACACTCTGCTGGTGTCCAAAATTTGCTTGTTGGTGTAGGGAAGCCCCCCAACACACACACACACACACACACACACACACACACACACACACTCTGAATCCAGGAACCTCTTTTCAGTCACACAGCTAGTATTAGAACCTGTTTCCAGAAACCTAATTCTGTAGCTTAAAAAAATTAAATGTAAACTTATTTTCAAGCATTTGAAAAACAACAGCCCCTCCCCATTATCGGTGGGAAATACACCCCAAGACCCCAGTGGATACCTGAAATCATGGAATAGCACCGAACCTTATATACTGTTTTTTCCCTATACATACATACCTATGATAAAATTTAATTTATAAATTAGTCACAGTAAAAGATTAACTACAACAACTAATAAAATAGAACAATTATTCAAAAGATGATTCATGTCACAGTGGGATGAAACAAGATGGAGTGGGATGGTGTGAGATTTCATCACACTACTCAGAATGGTGTGCAACGGTTTTTAATAAATTTTTAATAAATGGTTTATTTCTAGAATTTTCCATTTACTATTTTCAGACCGTGGTTAACCATGGGTAACTGAAACCATGGAAAGTGAAACTGTGGATAAAAGGGGGGGAACAACAGTATAAAGACAATGATCGCTGGACTGATGTGTTGGAAGCAACAACAATGGAATGACAAGCCTTCAAAATGTAATCTCACAGTTTGATGTTTAACAGTAATGCTGGACAAGATACAACATCTTTCCCAATTGTTAAGATTTTGACACAATTCCAGTTACCAAAGCTTCAGGAAACAGAAATAAATGTTGATTACAACTTTATTTTGTTTTATTTTTAATTTTTTTATCCTCACCTGAGGACATTTTTCCATTTTTGTTCAGATAGAGTGGGAGGGAGAGAGAGGAAGAAAGAGTGAGAGAGAGAGAGAGAGAAACATCACGTGAAAGGGACACATCAAGTGGCTGCCACCCACACAACCAACTAGGGCCAGGGACAAACTGCAACCGAGGTACGTGCCCTTAGCGGGAACCAAACCCGGGTCTCTCTGGACCGCATGCCGATGCTGTAATCGCTGAGCCAAACTGGTCAGGGCGATTACAACTTAATTTAAGATTAGAAATAGACAATGACAAGATGGCGGTGTAGGTAAACGTGGTATCTCGTCCTCCCACAACCACATCAAAGTTACAACTAAACTACAGAACAAACATCATTCAAAGACACCTGAAATAAAGCTGAATGAAGTCCTACAACTACAAAATTAAAGAAGCCACATCAAGACTGATAGGAGGGGCAGAGGAGTGACGGCTGGTCCCACACCCACGTGTGGTGGATAAATTTTAGGAGGATACCTTGGCTGGGAAGGTCCTCCCTGAGGACAAAGGGGTCCCCGTCCCACACCAAGCATCCTGCTCAGGGATCCAGTACCAGGAAGAGAAGTCACAACTTCTGGCTATAAAATCTTCGAGAACTAAGGCTCAGGGAGGCTCCTCTTAAAGGCCCTGCGCATGGACTTACTCTGACTCACACCCTCCAGGCTCCAGCATGGGGGAGGAAACATGAAAGGCACCAGAGACATACAGGAAAGAACTGAGTTGTTAGGCACTGGAGCGAGGGCTGGAGAGGGGGCTTTCTCCCGGACAATTTGTCAGAGGCCTTTGTTCCTTTGGTGAGCCCTTCCCTAGGGCGGCAGACAGCTGCCACATCTGGAACTCCAGCAACTTGGCTCACACTGTTTGCCCCGCCCTGGTGATTCCCTGAGGCCCCGCCCCAAACAACTTTCAGGCCCACCCAAGCGGTTGCCAGTGCTTTACCATAGGATTAGCCTGTCTTGGATCCTGCTTCAGGTTTTCCTAAATTCTTTCAAACAAGCAGCATCTGGTCTTAGCTAGCCCCATACCTCTCATTAAGTAATACACAGAAACAAACACAGGGAGGCAGCCAAAGTGAGGAGACAAAGAAACAGGTCCCAAATGAATGAACAGAACAAAACCCCAGGAAAAGAACTAAGCAAAACAGAGATAAGCAACAGATGCTGAGTTCAAAACACTGCTTATAAGGATGCTCAATGATCTTAGTGAGAACCTCAGTGAACTTAGTGAGGGCCTCAAGAGCATAAAAAATGGACCAGTCAGAAATAAAGGATGCACAGTCAGAAATGAAGGAGGCACTAACTGAAATAAAGAATAATTTACACAGATTCAATAGCAGAGTAGGTAAAGCCAAGAAGCAAACCATCGATTTGGAATATAAGGAAGCAAAAAATGCCCAATCAGAACAGCAAAAAGAAAAAAGAATCCAAAAAAATGAGGATAGTGTAAGGAGCCTCTGGGACAACTTCAAGTGTGCCAACATTCGCATCTTGGGGGTGCCAGAAGGAGAAGAGAGAGAACAAGAAATTGAAAACCTATTTGAAACAATAATGGCAGAAAACTTCCCTACTTGGTGAAGAAAGCAGACATACAAGTCCAGGAAGCACAGAGAGTCCCAAACAAGATGAATCCCAAGAGGCCCACACCAAGACACATCATCATCAAAATGCAAAAGATTCAAGACAAAGAGAGAATCTTAAAAGCAGCAAGAGAAAAAGCAGTCCGTTACCTATAAGGGAGTTCCCATAAGACTGTCAGCTGATTTCTCAAAAGAAACTTTGCAGGCCAGAAGGGAGTGGCAGAAATATTCCGAGTGAGGAAAAGCAAGAACCTACAACCAAGATTACTCTATCCTGCAAAGCTGTCATTTAGAATCAACGGTCATATAGTTTCTCAGGCAAAGAAAAGCTAAAGGAGTTCATCATCACCAAACCATTATTATATGAAATGTTGAAGGGTCTTCTTGAAGAAAAAGATAAAAAATATAAACAAACAGCCCTGGCAGGTTTGGCTCAGCAGTTAGTGCGTTGGTCTGTGGTCCAGGGAAACCCGGGTTCGGTTCATGCTGGGGGCATGTACCTTGGTTGCAGTTTGTCCCCGGCCCTGGTTGGGTCATGCGGGAGGCAGCCACTTGATGTGTCCCTTTCACGTTGATGTCTCTCTCTCTCTCTCTCTCTCTTCCTCTCTCTCCCTCCCACTCTATCTGAACAAAAAATAGAAAAATGTCCTCGGGTGAGGATTAAAAAAAGAAAAATATGAACAAACAAAATAGCAATGAATACATATCTATCAACAATTGAATATACAAACAAAATGAACAAGCAAAACAAACATTCTCATAGATCCAGAGGACATTTTGTTGGTTGCCAGATGGGAGGGGGGTTGGGGAAATGGGTGAAAAAGGTGAAGGGATTACGAAGTACAAACTGGTTGCTAGACTGACAAACCTCAACGGGAAGGGGGTTTGGGGGGTAGGAAGAAATAAACCAAAGAACTTATATGCATATGTGCATTACCAATGGACACAGACAACAGCGTGGGGAAAGGCAGGAGGGGGGTGAGAGTGAGAAGGAGGGGGTCAATGGGAAAAAATGAGGAATGTCTATAATACATTCAACAATAATAAGTAAAAAAAAAAAAAAAAAAAAAAAAAGATTAGAAATAAAACTTAATATCCCATACAGAAAAATCAAAATTCAAATACAAACTGCAGGTACCAATATTAGAATACAAAGCATCCTGGCTGGCGTGGCTCAGTTGGTTGGAGCATCATCCTGGGCACCAAAAGGTTTCGGGTTTAATTCCTGGTCAGAGCACATATCTAGGTTGGGGGTTCTGTCCCAGGTTGGGGTGTGTATAAGAGACTACTAATCGATGTTTCTTTTTCACATTGATGTTTCTCTCTCTCTCTCTCAAATCAATAAACATATCCTCCTAGGGTGAGGATTGAAAAAAAAAAAAAGAGTATAAAGCAAAAGCTAGCATTTGGAAAGAAAGGAAATATTGCTTTCAAGTTTCTTGGAGGTCATTTGTAGACAATCTCAGGCTATCTCTCACTCTCTCACCCTGCATTATATACAAAATTCTATTTTACATAAAGAATATTTTTGGAAACAATGTTTTGTAATTGTTTACTTGCCTGACTTACCTCTAGAGACAAATCTGTGCTATATCTAATTTTGTATCACCACAATCTTGCCACAGAATGTTTTGTGTGTTCACACATATTTTTAAGCATTATCTTTTCAGGTTGAAAGTAAAGTTTGTTTAAAAGAGAGAAATTTTTACCACATGGCTTTTTAAATTGTCAAAATGAAGTAACAAAGTTCATATTAATACAAACAGTAAAATAATAAAACATAAAAAACTATGAAAAGATTTTAATTCTAATGGGACTAGTAAGAGAAAAAATTTAGCATTTTTTGAAAAGTAAAAATAATTTTAAGAATTCTTGAAAATCAACATGACTTACTCTTTAATATCACGAAGCTGATCAACATCTTGTGATCTTGTAAAATCTGGATCATGGGCTAGCAGGTGAATCATGTATGGAACTACATATTCAGGCAACAGTGATAATAATTTCTCTAAAGTAAAAACATTATTATTAACAACAGTAATAATCATATTTATAAAATCCCTCTCTTAGTTTTGCATTTTAACCACTTCAGTTTCCATTCCCCTGCTCAGTTATTCTACATTATAGGCAACATAAAACCTAATACTAAAAATACTTTGATTTCTGTTTTATTTATTTTTATTATTATTATTATTATTTTTATCCTCACCCGAGGACATTTTTTTGCATTTATCTTCAGATAGAGCAGGAGGGAGAGGGAGGGAGGGTGGGAGGGAGGGAGGGAGAGACAGAGAGAGAGAGAGAAACATCGATGTGAGAGAGACACATCGACTGGTCGCCACCCACACGACCCCAACAGGGGCTGGGGACAAACTGCAACCGAGGTACGTGCCCTTAGTGGGAACTGAACTCGGTTCTCTCTGGTCCATGGGCTGACGCTCTAACCACTGAGCAAACTGACCAGGGCTCTATTTTATTATTTTAAATATGTTTTTATTGATTTTTTTTTTTAGAGAGAAAGGAAGAGAAAAAGAGATAGAAACACCGATGTGAGAGAAATATCAATCTGCTGACGCCTACACGCTCCCTATCAGGGATCGGGCCTACAACCTGGGCATGTGTCCTGACTGGGAGTCAATCCAGGACCTCTCAGTCCACGGTATGATGCTCAATCCACTGAGCCACATCAGCAAGGCTTATTTCTATTTAAAGGCTATTAAAACCAAAAGAATAAATAAGATGACACAGAGGGTCCCTGGCAAAGCTAGCATAATTATTATTTTTTTCTTTTTTTAATCCTCACCTGAGGATATTTTTCTATTTATCTTCAGATAGAGCAGGAGGGAGAAAAGGAGGAAGAGAGAGAGAGAGAGAAACATCGATGTGAGAGGGGACACAATGAGTGGGCCTGGGACGAACTGCAGCTGAGGTACATGCGCTTTACTGGAATCAAACCCGTGACTCATTAGTCCATGGGCTAATGCTCCACTACTGATCCAAACTGGCCAGGGTGCTAGAATAATTCTTTACTTGACATTTGAGCAGTGTTCTAATCAAGCCATACTACTGATACCATAAGAAAAATGCAGTTTCCTCAAACATTATTATGCATTATAAAGAGGACTCAGAATCCAGAACATTAGATTTTAAGTACATTATAACTACAGAGATAGCATTCTATAAAAATCCCAATGTGCCCAGCCTATGTGGCTCAGTGGATTGAGTGTCATCCTATGGACTGACAAGTTTGATTCCTGGTCAGGGCACATGCCCCGGTTGCAGGCTCGATCCCTAGTAGGAGGTGTGCAGGAAGCAACGGATCAGTTTCTCTCTCACATAGATGTTTCTCTCTCAAAAAATCAATAAAAACGTATTTAAAAAAAAATCCCAGTGTTATTATAAACTACAATAGAAATACATAAAATACCCTCACAATGATATATTGACAAGATATACTTGCACACAGAAACTTTCAGTTACTTACCAGTAGCCATAGGGTTCTGTTTAATGTACTCCCTGCGTATACTGATATTTTTTAGTAAACACTGTCGTGCATGTGCTCTTCTCTCCTTCACAGGATCTTTGGCACACAAGGCAAAAATCGCCATATACTCCAAGGGGAGAAGTAACTTCACAAGGGCCTTATGCAGTTTCTGAGCAAATATCTGTCTTACTTGGTAGCACTCATCCTACAGCAGCACAAAACCAAAAATACTTAAGTACAATTCCTCTTGTGTACATATCCACACAATAAATTGATCTACATCCATAGAAAGTAAATGTATTTATCCTCGAAGGCCAAGTAATTGACAAAAATAAGATTGTTACTTACATTAATAACAAGTGCACAGAGCTGAAACTGTTCTGGGGTTATAATTTCATGGTAACAAGGTTCCTGAGCAAGCTTCATTATGGCACTACCAGCAGCTAATCGCAAGCGAGACATATCAGATTTACTATAAACAAAAAAGAAATAAACATTTCCTATAACCATTATCATTCATAGAAATTATTTGATCCCTTTTTTGAGTATTAAGATCTTCAGCATAATTTATGCTTAAAATGACAATGTACAAATATGGGAAAGCTACTTTGAGTCCTTGAACTCAATACAGGTAAAAAGACTCAAATCATTGTGACTATTTGATAATAAATTTCTATCTTCATTTTTAGTTATGCTCTAGCTTAGATCCTCCACTACAGCCAAGAAACTCTGCTTATGATCACAACCACACTAACTGCAGTGCTAGAGAGAACATTAGGAACTATAGTTCTCATTTCAAGAGAAATATACATTTACTGTAGAAGATCTGATAAAAAAAAATTTTAAATCACTTATTATCTAAAATCTATTTCCAACAATTTTTAAATGCATATGCATGACATACATGCAATAGAAATCTAGCTTGAGCCTACATATGATATGTCTGATGAAATGAGGTGCTAGAAAGTAGGAAATGATTTGTACCGGAAAAGGGGTATTATCAGACAAATACCCAAAAGGAAAGGATATAGAGATGAGAGCCAGTGTCTATCTCAGGTAACAATCTCTGGGGGAGACTTTCTTTTGCACCACAAAGATTTAAAAGGGAATCTGGGATGTCTATACACTCCCACCTCTGGCCAGTGGACTTTTATTACCTAAATAGTAAAATGTGACACTGAATGGGATGAAAGGACAATCTTTTACTTCAACATCTATGCAGAACCTAGCACAGCTTTGAAGACTGTAGGAAATGTGAAAATCTAGTCTGAATCCACAAGGGACTATTATTTATCACCCAAGAGAAAAAAACATGGTACTCTTGGATAATAGGATTGTCAAAGTGAGCACTGGTAACAATGAGGGACCTTTAATGGCTACTGAGGCAAATGATTCAGAAATTTAAAAAATAATAGCTCACAACTGGTATGGCTCAGTGATTAAGCACTGATTCCTGCACCAAGAGGTCGCTGGTTTGATTCCTGGTCAGGGCACATGCCCAGGTTGTGGGCCAAATCCCCAGTGGGGGGCATGCAGGAGGCAGCCAATCCATGTTCTCTCTCATCGATGTTTCTCTCTCTCTCCTTCTCCTTTCCTCTCTCTAAAATCAATAAAAATAAATAAATAAATAATTAATTAATTAAATAAAATAAAAAAGACAATAACTACTATTTGGGTGCTTGACTGTGTTAGGCAGTATGAGAAACACTTCACAGTCTTTATCTCATTTAATTTTCACTCCATAAGATGAAGCTTAGAAAAGTGATATGTTATAACAGTTAGTAAATGGACTGCAGAATTGTATATGTTTCTGATTCTGCAGCTCAAGTTATAGCATAGGTTTGCAATATGTAATTATGATCTACCGAATATTTCATGATATGTGTTCCATGATTAATATCTTTTGTGATAAAAAAATACTGGATGTATTTGCATGAATCTTTTTTGTATGATTCTTTTATTGTTTCATGAGTGTATAAATAGTCAAAAGATAACATTTTTAAGGTTCTAGACACAAAATGCCAAACTGCTCTGCCAAGACTGTGCCAATATATAGTCACTGGAGTAATGAGGGAACCCATTTCCCTGATCCCATAAAACAACTGCTTAAAAAAAAAAATATATATATATATATATATCTGATCTGATAGGCAAGATGAATCTCCGGTTTAAATTGTATTTAGTGATAAATATTTTTATCAAAAATTTTTCTTCTTTATTGATTTGAGAGAGAGATAAAGGGGGGGAGAGAGAGAGAGAGAGAACATCAATTGGCCACCTCCTGCATGGCCCCCACTGGGGATTTGGCCCACAACCTGGGCATCTGCCCTGACTGGGAATTGAACCGGCAGCCTCTTTTTTTTTTTAAATCCTCACCTGAGGATATTTTTCCATTTTTTGTACAGATAGAATGGGAGGGAGAGAGAGGAAGGGAGAGAGAGTGAGAAACATCGACGTGAAGGGACACATCGAGTGGTTGCCACCCGCACGACCAACCAGGGCCGGGGACAAACTGCAACCGAAGTACGTGCCCTTAGCGGGAACCGAACCCGGGTCTCTCCAGACCGCAGGCCGACGCTCTAACTGCTGAGCCAAACTGGCCAGGGCGAACCGCTCAACCACTGAGCCATACCAGCTGGGCAGTGATAAACATTTTTAAAGACAAACTGATAATACATAGTTTTCATTTCTACTGTGGATCCTGCCTATTTACCATGGATTTGTAAGAGCTCATTTTACTAAGACTTTGCCATCCACTGTACAGTTACCCTAAATTTAAAACTTCTCATTTAAATTTAAAACTTCCTAACTCAGCTCTAATCTTCAATCTGTTTATACAAAGCTACCCCTGGCTTTTTCTATGATAAAAAATAATTTTTCATGGTTTTCCTCAGTTTATCAAAGCATTCAGCATCTTTATTGTAATTGCTCATTTCCTCTCTCTCCCACTACAATGCATATTCCTTGTAGGGAGAGGCTTTTGTATACATACAAAAACCATAGCAGTATTTGATATGAGAGTGCTCAATAAATATTGTATGCATAAATAAATAATTAAACTATCCTCTAACACCAATTCTAAAGTGGGAATGCATCACAAGTAGAATTCTTTAGTTAGTTCTGTTGGTGCTTTCGAAACATCAATAATTTGAAATAAGCTAGGATCATAAAAATTTTGGCTTTACTTTTATCTTATAAAGAATAGAAAGAGATGTTAATTTCACAGATTTGAAGAGTAAAAATGTGTAGAAACAAAAACATTTATTTTGCATTTGTAGAACCTTGTAGAGAAGCGGTTCTCAACCTGTGGGTGAGACCCCTTTGGGGGTCAAACGACCCTTTCACAGGGGTCGCCGAAGACCACTGGAAAACAAAATTACAGTTATGAAGTAGCAACAAAAATAATTTTATTATTGGGGGTCACCACAACATGAGGAACTCTATTAAAGGGTCACGGCATTACGAAGGTTGAGAACCAATGTTGTAGAGCCTTCTGCAATCCACCGGGAGGCTGCAACTCTCCTTTCTTTGAACCTTCACTGAAATTTTTATTGCTTTCATGGTACCAAGACACTCCACTTCTTTAATTACTATATTACAGGGTAAGATCCTTGAGGGCAGGAGCTGAATTGTATCTGTTTTTGCTGCAATGCCTTTTAGTATTTTGCAAAGACTAGTAATTTAACAAATAATTGATTAATTGAACCAAGTGTTGATGCTAACTGTAACATTACTATAGAGATTATTACTAAAAATTTATTGGGAAGAGTTCAATCTTTAGGAATGAAGAAAAATATACTATCACTATTGAGATATAAACCCAAGTACATGAAATTTGATTCCAAAGTACATGGTGCAGTTACAGCATTCAATATCAATTAGGTAAATAATTCCTATGTAAGCTCTACCAACATGTTGAGCTAAAAAAATTAAAAAGAAAGAAAAATCTTACCTGATCCTCTTCTGCTCTGTCAGGTCACCCTCACTAACCAACATCGCTGATAATAACCGAAGAGTTGAATTGGCAGATTTAGACTGGTTGTTTTTCATACCCAACAGCCACCTTACCAGAAGTTTAATTGCCTGTACCTATAAAATATTAACATGCTAAAAAAAGAAAGCAACTTAAAATTCCAATTAAATGGAAGATTAATTTATGTTAATTAGATAAGTGAGATTACTTAACTGCCAGCAGACATGCTGTATTAAACAAGTCTGTATAATAACAATAAAGACTAATATTTATTCCATTTAATCTGCACCAGGCACTTTTCCTAGGGCTGTACATGTATTAACTTATTTAATCTCCAAGCAACTCTATGAGGGAAGCATTATTTCCACAGTAAGGCAACTCAAACACTGTTTACTATGACAGATAATTTGCCCAAGGTCTGGCTCCTGAACTCAGGCCTTTCACATTGAACACTTGCCCAATGTTTTCAAATTATTTAAAAATATAGTTCAAAATAACTATTTCAACTATACCAATTTTAGTAATTAAAAATAATTACAATATTTTCTGTAGTACTGAAAAACTATTTTGTAGAAACCATCAAATCTAATTCCATCTCACTTAACATTCTGCTTCCATAATTATTTGTGGTTATAATTACTTGGAGGGTTATACCAAAAAGAATGTTACCAATCTATATGAAAGCACTAGCTAGTGAATCTAGGTATTCTTTATTATATTTATTGACAAACTGGAAAAAGGCATTGATGGAATATATGATGACTATCAAGTTACACAAGGTAAAACAGATTATCAAGGAAGATGATAAATGGAGAAGTTAATTTTAAATTCCAACACTACCATTTTAAAAATTAGCTTAATGAGGTACAATTTACATCTACTGAAAGTTACCAATTCGACGACAGCCACTTGTTTTTGCTAAGTTAATATTAATATGCTTGTAGGTAGGTAGATGGTGGTAAGGGAGTCCGCAGATGTTTTTGAACATCAATAATTCTGCAAACAATCTCTGGGTAAAACAGCTTCACTGAAATTGTTTTAGCAGGTAGGAAGGTCTACACAAGATGCAGACATATATCTATAAATAACTCAGTATCAACTACAGTTTCTTTGAGAAACACAACTTTTGATTTATAAATATGGCACCTAATTTAAAAATAATTAACTATTAGATTAAAAAAAGGATATCTATGAATGTTCATTATTTCAACATAAAAGTTATCAAGATCTACACAAATTTACCTTTGCTAGTACTTCAGGGGAAACCTCTTCATCTGGAGACCACAATTTTCCATTCTTTTCACCTGTTGACTATAGTCAATTGAATAAATTGAATTTTTAGAAAGAATTTTAAAGTTCTGCTCATTAAGTTTTCATGTTGAACAATGCAATACTACAGGAAAATCACCAAGCATAGCTTAGAAAAGAACAAAGTTGAAGAACTCAAACTTCCTGATTTTGAAGCTTAGTAGAAATCTATAGTAACCAAGACAATGTGGTTGATAATGACATTAGGTATAGGCATTTAGCTCAGTCAGTGTTGCTCAGTGGTTGAGTGTTGACCCACAGACCAAGACGTCTCTAGTTTGATTCCCAGCACATACCTGGCACAATCCCTATATGGGTGTGTAGAAGGCAGCTGAGTTGTCTCTCTCATCAATGTTTCTCTCTCTCTCTCTCTCCCCCCTTCCACTCACTCTAAAGATCAATAAAAACATATTTTTAAAAAAAGTATAGGCATTTAGATCAAAGAAATGAAATACAGAACCAAGAAAACCCTCACATACATGGTAATTGATCTTTAGAAGGGGTGCAAAGATAAATTATTAAGAAAAGAAAAGTCTGGCCAGTGTGGCTCAGTGGATGAGTATCGGCCCATGCATCAGAAGGTCGCTAGTTCGATTCCTGGTCAGGACACATGCCCAGGTTGTGGGCCCAATCCCCAGTGGGGGGCATGCAGGAGAGGCAGCCAATTGATGTTCTGACTCACTGATGTTTCTATCACTCTCCCCCTCTAAAATCAATAAAGGAAAACAAAATTTAAAAAAAGAAAAAAGAAAAAAAGAAGAGTCTCTTCAACAAATGGTATTAGAAAACCTAGATATCCACAGGCAAAAGAATAAAGCTGAATTGTTATCTTATATCATATACAAAAATTAACTAGAAATGGATCAAATCTCTAATTTAAAAACCAAAAAAAAACTATACAACTCTCAGAAGATATAGGAGGAACTTTTCACAATCTTAGGTTTAGCCAATATCTGATAAGGGTTTAATATTCAGAATATATAAAGAATTCTTACAACTCAACAACAAGAAAGACATACAACCTAATTAAGAATGACAAGGGGCTGGTTTGGGTCAGTGGTTAGAGTGTCAGCCCTCGGCCCAGAGGGTCATGGGTTCAATTCGTGGTTAAGGGCATGTACATGGGTTGCAGGTTCGATCCCCAGCTCTTGTTGTGTGGCAGACAACCAATCAATGTGTCTTTTTCACATTGATGTTTCTCGCTCTCTCTCTCTCTCTCTCTATCCCCTCCCTTTCATTCTATCTATCTCCTGTGAGGATCAACAATAATAAAAAAATAAAAATAAAAGTGGGCAAAACACTTTTAATACCCAAAGAAAGTATAAAAATGGCCAAAAAACATATGAAAAGTAGTCATGTGTCATTAACATCATTAGTTATTAGGGAAATACAAATCAAAACCACAAAATACTTCCCACCTATTAGGATGGCTACTATAAAAAAAAAACAAAACAGAAAAGGCCTTGGCCAGTTTGGCTCAGCGGTTAGAGCATTGGCCGATGGACCAATGGGTAACGGGTTTGATTCTGGTCAAAGAGCACTGTACCTTGGCTATAGTTCGTCCCCAGCCTTGGTTGGGTAGTGTAGGAGGCAACCAGTCAATGCGTCCCTCTCATGTTGATGTTTTTCTCTCTTTTCCTCTCTCCCCCACTCTATCTGAAGATAAAAAAAATATCCTCGTGTAAGGATTAAAAAAAAAAGTAGAAAAGAATAGCATTGCAAAGATGTATTGTAATCGGAAGCCTTGTGCATTGCTGATGGGAATATAGGGCTGCTGTAGCAAACAATCTGGCAATCTCTCAAAAGTTTAACATAGGATGACCATGTGACTCAGCAATTCCACTCCAAGGTATATACCTCATAGATTTGAGAACAGGGACTCAAATGTTTACATCAGCATTACTCACAATAGTTAAAAGGTAGAAAAAGTCCAAGAGTCTATCAACAGATGAATAACCAATATGTAGGCAACACACACAATGAATTATTATTATGGCATAAAATGAAGTTCTGATACATACTATAACACAACCTTGAATCCATTATACTCGGTGAAATACGTCAGACACAAAAGGACAAATAATGGATGATAAGAGGTATGTAGAAAAGGCAAGCAGAACAGAGTTTACCCGGGACTGAGAGAAGGAGGCAATGAGAAGTTATTGGTTAGTGAATATAGATTTTTCCATCTGAGATGATAAAGTTCTAGAGGTAGGATACTGGTGATGGTTACACAATAATGTGGGTGCATATTTTAGGTGATAGCTTGGGACATTCTGGAAGAGTTACTTGGCTTTCCTGGATATATCCCATGTATACAGGTGGTATTTACATGTTATTAAACTTCTGTTTGTTTTTTAAAACAAATCAAAACAAAAACATCCAACAAAAAGAAGAATGTGGGTAAATATAGTATAGATGAGCGGCACACTTAATGGTAAAAATATCAAAGTTTATTTTATATTTATTTTATCACAAAAAAAGAGCCATCTTAAATTAGGATCCATCAACAATTAAGTCATCATCTAAGAGTTGCCTTAAATTTCACATTTGTTGCCAGCCACATCGAGCAACAGCGTAAACAGCACAAAAATTTGGAATAGGAATGAGACTTTGGCCATGCTTTTCCATCCTTGTCTATCACACTCAAATGGAGAAAGGAAAAAGAGGAAGGAGTGCACTGCCAAATATCTTTCTAAGTTCAGATACTGAGGGCTTGAAGACCACTGGACCATGTGGAAGGATTAGGTAAACTGGGAAAGTAAGCACTGAACTGAAAGTCACCCACAACGGTCCAGTAGGTAAGACTGGTTTGTTTATAGCTCTGGCAGGGTAGGTCAGTTTGTTACAGTGTCATCCTGATACACCAAGGTTGCGGGTTCAATCCTGGTCAGGGCACATACAAGAAGCAACCAATAATGTATAAATAAGTGGAACAACAAATCAATATTTCTCTCTTTCCCCCCTTCCTCTTGCTCTAAAATCAATTTAAAAAAAATGTAAATAATTTTAAAATTTATGTCCATTTGGAAGAGATTCTTTTTTTTTTTTTTATCCTCACCCGAGGACACTTTTTCATTCTTTGTTCAGATAGAGCAGGAGGGAGAGAGAGAGAGAAACATCGATGTGAAAGGGACACATCGAGTGGCTGCCACCCGCACGACCAACCAGGGCCGGGGACAAACTGCAACCGAGGTACATGCCCTTAGCGGGAACCGAACCCGGGTCTCTCCGGACCGCAGGCCAACGCTCTAACCGCTGAGCCAAACCGGCCAGGGCTGGAAGAGATTCTTAATCAGAGGTGTGTTTGGGCACCAACCCAGAGCTAATAAATCAGCGTGTGTGCTCGCGTGCATGCACACACACACTTCAATAACTAAAATAGAATACATAAATCTAGTGCCAAAGTGCAATGTAATTATATTTCAAAATGCTACTCAAATATAATTTCACTTACATTTTTTTTTTTTAATCCTCACCCGAGGACATTTTGCATTCATCTTCAAAATAGAGCGGGAGGGAGAGAGAGAGAGACATCGACATGAGAAAGACACATCGACTGGCTGCCACCCGCCCTAACCGGGGCCGGGGACAAACTGTGACTGAGGTATGTACCCTTAGCGGTAACTGAACCCGGGTCTCTCTGGACCGCAGGTTGACACTCTAACCGCTGAACCAAACCGGCCAGGGCTCCACTTACATTTTTAACAATGTTTGATAAAACAAAATTCTAGCACTCAAGTAAATGGTCCTTCAAATGTTAGAATATAGCATTTGACTTATATTCTTTACTTCGTAATTCATTCATCTCATATTCTCATTTTTTCTTTTTTGGTTAAACCTCACCCAAGGATATTTTTCCATTGATTTTTAGATAAAAGTGGAAGAGAGGGAGAGGGGGAAGGATGGAAAGGGAGAGAGAGAGAGAGAAACATCAATGTGAGAGACATCAATTCGTTGCCTCCCAAACAACCCTGACTGGGGCCAGGGATCGAACCTGCAACTCAGGTATGTGCCCTTGATGGGGAACAAAACCCAAGACCCTTAGGTGTGTGGGCTGATGCTTTAACTGCTGAACCAAACCTGCCAGGGATCATTTTTTTTCTTTCTTAAATGCTAATATCTCATAATAGCTGAATAGAAATCAGAATGTCATTTGGAAATTAAATTAACATAAGGAGGGAAAACATACAATAATTTAAAAGGAAAAGAGAATTATATATAGAAAGCAGAAATGTTGTTTCTGTGATAAAGATGTAGATAGTAGTCTTAATCTCATGATTCTAAATTTAATTAAATGAGAAACTTACCCTGTCATTCATTAGCAGATCTTTCACAATAAAATTTGCTACTACAGATTTCATTGGGGAAGCAAACTGATCTGGTGCTAACATGGAAATGTGGCCCAATGAAACTAATGGAGTTATAAGTTGTTCTGGTACATCAGCATTCAGACTCCTACTGAGTGGCTATAAAAATAAAACAGTCAAAATTACCAGTTTGTTTTGTAAATAGCTAGACATTCTATGGAAAGAGTAAATGTTCCAGAGTCCTCCTGAACTTATCATGCTCAAACAAACCTATTCTAATGACATGATCAAAAGTAACTTTAGCCACATTAGATAGTTGATTCTTATTTCACCTACTAAAATTTAACAAATCTGAAGAATGCAGAAAAAAGGTAATAGAAAAAAATAAAGCCAAAGTAAAAGGTAGAAATGAAAACAAAATTATTTCTGCATCATCAAATCAGCATTATTTTCAAGCTATCTACAAACAATAGGTTTGTTATGTTAGTGGATTTTTTATCCTGTGGGGACATTTTAAATGACCACAAATCATAAAAAATTAGATTTCACTGGGTTCTGATCATATTGTATCTAATTTATTACAATAGAAATACCTTTCTAGTAGCGGAATCAGGCCAAGAATCATACATAAGGAAAGGCCAACAGGACTGATTTTCAGGTAAGGGTGTCAGGTACTTTAAACTTGATGGTTCAAAGTCATCTAATTAAACTTTTTGAGGATAAATGGATCACTGAGCCAATCAAGTTAAAATTAAGTAAAATGTTCTAACAAACATGCAAAACATCTTTCCGTATGTAGTATTTGAACACATAATCTGACCTAAAGGCTGGGTATAAAGTGCTGAATAAAACAGAGAGAGTCCCTGCTCCCATAGAATTTATATTCTAGGGTGGGATAAAAAACTAAAAAAAAAGCCCCAAAAATGAAAACAAAACTAAACCTATCTTCACAGACCATAAAAATAAAAATCAACATAAACACACCCTATATATTATATATACCTCAAAAATCTGTGCAAGCTGGACTTCTTTATTTGTGAATATGGCATGTATACAGTGAACAGCCTGTTTTGCTTGGTGTGGAGTACCTCTCTTTGCTTTCTGATGTAAAATAGGAATTAAAGTCCTGTAAAAAACAATATCATAGTTAAAAAAACAAAAGCCCATAAACCACAGTAGTTCTTTTGGTTGCCTCCTATGTCCTCTTCCATAACTATTTGGATGTACACTGGTAGAAAAATCTCTCTTAAAAACTACCAGATCTATAGAAGGATATAAAGCTCTTTCTCTGTTCCCAAGTATAGTTAAAGAAATACAATGCCTCAAGAGAAAGGCTACTTCAGGGGACAACTTCTGTTTTAAAGCCATCTTGTGAATATGAAGAAATAAACAAGCCACCCTTGATTTATAATCTAAAACTTGCCCCATGCCATATTTTTACATTTCCTTTCCAAGTAGATATGATTAATTTTTCACTTTCTTTTCACAATCCCCTTCAGTTATTTTAAAGTAGTCATGGGAGAAAAGCAGCAGAAGTCCAAGTTTTATTAAAAAGCTGGAGTGATTATACTAGTGAAAGAAAATATGCAAGGACATAGACACATAAATATTAGTAGAAGAGTAATAAAAACATCTAACAATTATTGAGTATTTATGCCAATTATGATTCTAAGTATTTTTACATGCATTGATCCTCATACTCAAAGAAGATTAATTATTACAGTCAATAAACAGATGAAAACACTAAAGCACAAAATTATTATTTAAGCTTCTTAAGGTAACAGAGCTAGAAAATGGTAAAATTGGGATTTGAAGATAAGCATTTCTGCTCCAAAATCCATGCACTTAACCTCCATACTGACAATGAAGATCAGAGTAAAACAATCTTTCTATGGGACAATGTAGAAATATGTTTTACAATCTTAAAGCATTAAATGTTGATAATATGGAAAAACAAGTGGAATGAAGAAAGAAGCATGTTTGTTTCAACCTATAGAAAACAGATATACACATCAAGTAGATAGACAAAACATTCATAAAAAATATATAAAATGTTAATTTTTTAAAAGTTTCAGCTTTTTACAATGAACATGTATTTTTCTCATCAGAAGAAAATGTATCAGGCAAAATAAAAATTTAAGAAAATACATCTGACATACATTTAATGCAATTACTCTATTTTATAGATTATAAGGTCAGTGGTATTAAATACAGTGGTGACAAAGGGTCCTCTTATGATAATGCGAGGCTAGGCATTAAGGAGCAATACCCCAGACTCCATGCCATGCACCTCAACAAAAAACCCCAAACGGGAACGTATGCTAGTCAGTGTGAGTGTGACTTAATATGAATATGCCACATTTCTCTCCATGCAGGTTTGGAATTATGAATAGAGATTTCCATGCTCCAATAGCCTCCTTGATGGAGTACTGCTTAAGTTTTTCTTTCACAAATTCATTTACCAGAGTAACAGTTCTTGTAAATAATAGAAGTAACAAAGGAAGATATGTTGAAATTGTTGTTAAATGCATTATTAATTCTCAGCCTCATGAAATGATGATACATAAATCAACTTTAATCTTTCTCCTTGTTTTTCTGGTGTGCTATAATTCCATGATGCCATCAGGGTTGTTATTGAGGTCTATAGTGTTGTGCTTTTCTGTTTCTCAGTGATTCTCTCCTTCCTTCCCCATTAATCTTTTACAAAAAGAGGTTTTATTCCTTGTGTCCAAAGTTAACTATTCCACCTATACCCATTTTTCCACTGCTTCCTTTGGAATAGAATTCCTTCATGAGTAAATTCTTTACCTTTAAAAAAAAGTATATATTAAGATTTTTCTAGTTTGAAAAACTCACCAGAAACTTTAACCTGTTGTGTCAATGATGTTTTTCTATAATATACAAATTATAAAGAGTATTATCTCTAGACTATAAACTCCTTGAGAGCAGGGACTGACTGTGGTTAATTCTTTCATATTAGCCAGTATAGCACTGACAATGAAGAGAATGTACAATAAATACTGAATTAATCCTCACATTTAACAATTAGCTCACAAATTTAATAAAAACTTTAGGAGTCATGAGAATTTTTGTTTTATGATTATCCTATAAGGAATAACTGGTTTGATTTGAATATACCCCAAACTATTTGCATATACTCTGAACATCTGATTCAACAGCTATCAGCAATAGTATTCTTCATTTAAAAGACATCTCCCACATCTTATGTCTAAATATAGTCTCAGCACAAGTTTGATCCTAACACCTTTTTTTTTTTTTTAAAATCTGATAAAACCTTTATGAGGCTAGATCCTAACAACTTCTTTAAGATGCCAAAGTGAAAATACAAAATATACTTCATTCTTATGAGAAGGGAGGTAATCCAGAGGGAGAGATCAAAACAATAAAAGCACCACTGCCAACAACCACATTAACTAAGAAATATTTTAAGTCTACTATATGATTATTCCATTCTGTGATGGGATATGAAGGTACTAAGTATTAAATTTATAACCAGTTGGAGAGAAAAAGGTGAACATACACCAAGTTGGAAAACATATTAATCACAAATTCTAAATTATGCAGTAACTCTTCATTATTAATATTAGTATTTTTAAATCATATTGTCATAAAAAAAGTTTCAGCTTGTTCCTCCACCTATATTCTAATGGTAGGGGAGAAATAACGCAGAGAAAAGATGAAACAAAGAATAAAGAAAAGTAGCTTCCAAATAAAAGTTGTCTTTCCTCTTGCCTGTCTTCCTACGTGAAAGGGAAACAATGATCCTACAGCTCGGTTCCCACGCTTAGAAAACTTTTGTATCGACTATGAGAAAAAATATACTCACGATCGTATCTGGGGTAAGTCTGTTTCTATTTTGTGGCCTGTATTTCTAAAAATTTGTATAGCAGCTTCTGCTACCTTGTCATCTTCCATTCGGAGGCACTGTAACAGGGACTCATATGTCTCTGCAGAGTGGAACGAGGTAGGATGTGTGAAAGACAGAACCTGGAGGAATAGATATAGCTTTAGAAGTGCAGACAATGGTTTTCATCCGTTAAAAGAAGATAACTATAAATATGATTTAAAATTATGGGCTGCATAAGCTATCTACACAGAATCAAGATTTACATCTAGTAGTTAGGTGTGGCTAATAAGATACTGACAGAAATACTGTGCAGTAGATGCCTTAAGACAGTTGAAATATAGCCCTTGCCCTATTTTCTTCTTAACCTCTTGGTCTATTCTGATAGTGGGAATGCAGAAAATGTGGGTCCTCTCTTATGGTGTATGATATTGTGATGTGTACAGAGCTTTATTTCATGACAAAAGATATTGTATAAGGAAATATTTAAAGTGAAATCCATCACAAAAAGTTCACTCACTGTAACTATAAACAAAGAAGCCATTATTGTGAACTTTTAATGATGAATACAAACATAAAATTATTCCTTATTTATTATGACCCAAGTCCCAGCCTATCCTTAATAAGTTTACAGCATGTTAGATGCAACATGTCTACAAAGTTCACCTTTCATGAAGTGGAAACAATTCAGTTAGCATAATACTGGAAATAAGGGTTAAAGGTGAGAGGCAGGGAGAGGGGAGAATGGAGTATATAGTCTTTATGAACTTATACAATAATCATTTTTAATGGGTAATAAAGTGGAGAGATTACCTCATTTGGTGAGATTTATAGTGATAATATTACTTATGAGGTTTTAATTACTTACAAAAAATGGAGAATAAAATTTGAAAAAACAAATCAAACAACCTATTAAATATATTTATCTTTGCCCAGCTGGTGTGGTTCAGTGGTTGAACACTGACCCATGCACCAAGAGATTTCTGGTTCGATTCCTGGTCAGGGCATGTGCCCAGGTTGTGGGCCCAATCCCCAGTGAGGGGCATGCAGGAGGTGGCCAATCGATGTTCTCTTTCATCGATGTTTCTCTCTCTCTCCCCATAAATTCAATGAAGAAAAAAAAAAATTTTTTTTAAATTATCTTTGGGCTTTTTCCTGTGTATTGAAATGTTGCCGGTTCAATTCCCAGTCAGGGCACATGCCCAGGTTGCGGGCTCAATCCCTGGTAGGGGGCATGAAGGAGACAGCTGATGGATGTTTCAATCTCACATCGATGTTTCCATCTCTCCCTTCCTCTCTCTCTAAAAAAAAAATCAATTAAAAAAAAGTTTATCTTAAAGATGATTTCAGTTTTAAAACTATTTAAAGCCCTGGCTGTTGCTCAGTGGTTAGAGCACTGGCCTGTGGACCAAAGGGTTACGGATTTGATTCTGGTCAAGGGCATGTCCCTGGTTTGCAGATTCGATCCCTGACCCTGATCAGGGTTGTGTAGGAGGCAACTAGTCCATGTGTCTCTCTCATCCATGTTTCTCTCTCTCTCTTCTCTCTTCCCCTCCCCCTAGGAATCAATGGAAAAATATCCTCAACAACAACAGCAAATTATTTAAAAATAGTTTTATTGAAAACATAATTAAAATATTTCTCACAAAGCATCATATCAATTCTTTCTGTGAAATATTTAAGACCATTCCAATACAACCCTCTTTTCTACCTAATGTCCACTGCACTGGTTTATCTCTTCTCCCTTAGTTTATATGTCGTAGTGGTCTAAATGTCTCGTTGCCTTCAATTTCTCCTCTTTATTCCATCCAATAAAAGCTCTATCAAATGCTGTTATCATTTTAAAAGCAAGGTTAAAAAGCCCTGATATTACCCTTCTGCCCAAATGGCACTCCACAATCTGGAATCAACCATTACTCCCCAGAGAAATCCTTTTGTCTAGTCAGGCTAGATTCCTAATGATTTCCTAAAATATGCCAAGAATTATTCTCTTGGATGATGTTGTTTCCCCCCCCTAGATTAAGTCATATCTTTTCTACAAAGTCTTACCTCACCTAACTCTTACTAGTTGCTCAATTCTCTGTATCTTTTGGCACCTATGACAATTACCAACTGTTTAAAAACTCCCTTATCAGACAGATGCTGTCATATAATATTCCTGTGAGAATATTATATGCAGGTTCTTTAAAAGATACTAGATCATTTAACACATACTGTTACAAGCACAGCACACATGCAAATAATGAACAAATTATCAGAAACCTAAAAACATTACTTTATAACATAAAATAATTACATTATTATAATATAAAAACATGCGATACTTTTATAAAACATGACCTCTACCAAAGTTTTAAATCTTTTGAATAGTTTTCAATGAAATAAAGCCTGATTCTTGCATTTCCTTAACAAAATTCAAACTGTGATTACTTGTGGAATCTAATGAACAAAATAAACTGACAAACAAAATGGAACCAGAAGCATGCATGGAACAGGCAGGCAGGAGGGGTGGGGGGGGGGAGGGTGAGACTAGATAGAGAAGTAGAGGGATTAGCTAAAGAACATATATGTATACCCCATGGACATGAACAGAATGTGGTGAAAGCCAAAGGAGGGGGATGCGGGGGTAGGTGAAGGTGAGTAAAGAGGGGGAGGGAATGAGGGAATTCTAAAATAATGTCAACATTAAAAATGTTTTTGTTGTTGTTGTTGTTTGTTTTTTTATCCTCACCCGAGGACATTTTTTCCATTTTTTGTTCAGATAGAGTGGGAGGGAGAGAGGTAGAGAGAGAGAGAGAAACATCGATGTGAAAGGAACATATCAAGTGGTTGCCACCAGCATGACCCTAACCAGGAAATGAACCCCGGTCTCTCCGGACCGCAGGCCGACGCTCTAACTGCTGAGCAAAACTGGTCAGGGAAACATTAAAAACGTTTAATAAAAAAAATTGTGATTACTGAAATGCCCGGAGACAAAATTGTTTCAAAAATACCTTAAGAAGTTCAAGTCCTGAACGAATAGCTGTATCTGGACTTACACCCTCCTCTTCATCATCTGCTGTCCCTTCTATTGATTTATTCATCAGTTTTACCAGTGCACTATTAATACAAGAAAATCTAAATTAGTAACACCACTAGATTAGTAACTATCCTAATTGCATCCTGGCAGGACATACATAGTATCTAAACATCAGATTCAAGTTTGGTCCTGGGAGAAAAAGTTACTTTGTGACATTTTAAGCTTTGCTCTCTACTTTGAACTTATTTTTAGTTTATCACCATCCTACCCCTCAACTCAGTGTGTATAACAACAACTACTGAAAAACAACAAAACTATAATTAAATAATATACATGTTAGAAACATATTTATGTAAGTATAAGCAATTTAATATTCATTTCTAAATGTAAAAAGATCATTTACAATTTTAAGAAAACAGTTGCTAAATGGACAAAAGATAATTCACTCAAAGCAAAACAACAACAAAAAATACCACAAATACACAGGTAAAGGAATTAAATTAGTCAATGATAATCTGTTGAATCAGTAATTCCATTCTAGAAATTTCTGCAATTTCTAGAAATTTCTGCAAAGAAGCAATTCATCAGGTATATATTACATTAATAGATTCACCACTGAAAAACCACTCAATTGTCCAATATTATAGAATTAGTTCTTCAAATATACCTAAAAACTACAAAATAGATTACCTGGTCAATAAAAATCAGACTGTAGCAACATAGTACTATTTTAAGTAAAAGCAGATGTGACTTTTGGTTTTGAGACAGTTCCCTCAACAGGAAACTGAGAAAAGTACTATCTTCTTTTGAGAACATTAAATCATTACAGCAAATGGCCTAATACATAGTTAATATTCAACAAATGGAAGCTGATCAGAAAAGCATTAGGTTAAGTATTTCTCCTTTGGCGTTATACATATTTTAATAAAATTATTAATAAAAAATTTTAGTGCAACCATAAAGTATGTACAGATAAAATTTAAACCATTTTTGATACTTACATTTCCCTTTAACATCACAAAAATAATTTAAAAATTTCAGTATCAATTAATGTAAAAACATATTTTGAAAAACAAATTGGATGTGTGTGTATAAACATTAACTTGAAATATAATTCATATACCATACAATTCACCTATTTAAAATGTATAATTCAGCCCTGGCCAGTTTGGCTCAGCGGTTAGAGCGTCGGCCTGCGGTCCGGAGAGACCCGGGTTCGGTTCCCGCTAAGGGCACGTACTTCGGTTGCAGTTTGTCCCTGGCCCTGGTTGGTCGTGCGGGTGGCAGCCACTCGATGTGTCCCTTCACGTCGATGTTTCTCTCTCTCTCTCCCTTCCTTTCTCTCCCTCCCACTCTATCTGTACAAAAAATGGAAAAGTATCCTCGGGTGAGGATAAAAAATAAATAAATAAAATAAAATAAAATGTATAATTCAGAGTTCCGGGTTGAGGGCCGCAGGAAGTTAAAAAAATATAAATAAATAAATAATAAATAAATAAATAAATATAAATAAAATGTATAATTCAATAGTTTTTAGTATATACAAGGGTTATACAATCATTACCATGATCTAATTTTAGATTTTCCCTTGTTCTCGAAGTTCACCCATGTTATTGCATGCATCAATACTTCATTTTAAATCTGAATAATATTCCATTATATGCATATAAGACAATTTATCCATTCATTAGGTGATGGACATTTGGGTTATTATCCCTTTCTAGCTATTATGATAATGTTGCTATAACATTCATATACAGATTGTATATAGATAGATATTTTCAATTCTCTTGGGCACATATTTAAGAGTAGAATTGCCGGGTCATATGGTAATTCTATGTTTAATTCTTTGAGGAAAAGCCAAACTGTTTTCTAAATCAGCCCCATGATTTTACATTCCTACTAGCAATATATAAGGGTTCTAATTATTCTACGTTCTTACAAATTTAATCTCTCTGATTATAGCCACACAAAAAATTGCCTTATGTCCCTTACAGTGGTCAATCCCCTTTTCCCAAGTTGGCAATCACTGATCTGCTTTCTCTCACTATAATTTTATCTTTCTAGAATTTCGTATGTTTTGTGTCATACATATTTTATGTGACGTAATGGTTTTGTAATTCCTCCACGACTGTTGGTAGAATCAGTAGTTTGTTCCTTTCTACTGCTGAGAAGTATTTTATCGTATAGATATACCACACAATGTTTATCTAATTACTAACTGATGGACTTCAGGGTATTTCTATTACTTATTTATTTACTTATTTACTTATTTTTTATCCTCACCCGAGGACATATTGAGTGGCTACCTCCCACATGACCCCAACCAGGGCTGGGGATGAACCACAACTGAGGTATGTGCCTTTGGCTGGAATCGAACCCGTGATTCCTTGGTCCATGTTCCAACGCTCTAACCTCTGAGCCAGACTGGCCAGGGCAGAGTATTTCTAGTTAAAAGATATAAAAAGCTGCTACAAATAGGTCTTTATTGGTATATATATTTTCTTAGAGGAAAATATCTAGTATTGAGATTCCTGAAATACAGTAATGTTACATGTACACTTCATGTTACAACAAACTGCTTTCCACATCATCAACACTTGGTTCCGTCAGTCTATATCCGTACCAATACTTGGTATAGTTAGGATCTTTAAGTTTGGCCATTCCAGTGGGTGTATAGTGATAATCCTCTTTGTAATTTAATTTTGTATGTCCTTAATGAGTAACACTGTTCACTGTCTTGTTTTATGATAATTTACTATTTGTACATCTTATTTAGCAAAGTGTTAAAATTTTTGATGATTTAAAAAAAAATTGATTTCAGAGAGAGAGAGAGGAGGGATAGGGAGAGAGATAGAAACATCAATGAGAACATCAGTCGGCCACTTCCCGCATGCCCCCCCGCATTGGGAATCAGGCCCACAACCTAGGCATGTGCCCTAACTAGAAATTGAACTGGTGACCTCTTGGTGCACGGGTCGACGCTCAACTACTTGGCCACACTGGCTGGGCTCTTAGGTCATTTTTAAACTGGGTCATCTGTCTTACTAAGTAGTTAAGAGTTCTTTTTATATTTTGGATATAATTAATCCTTTATTAGTCATATGCTTTGCAAATACCTTCTCCCAGTCTGTGGCTTGATTTTTCTTTTCCTTAATGGTATATTACAAGGAGGAAAATAATATTTAATTTTCTTTCCTTGTTTGTGCTTTTTTATGTCTCATCAAAGAAATTTTGCTTACCCTAGCTTTTGTTCTAAAAGTTTTAATTTTGACATGTATTTATTCTTTTTTGTTGTTGTTGTTGTTGTTCAGGTAGAGTGGGAGGGGGAGAGAGGAAGAGAGAGAGAAACATCGATGTGAAAGGGACACATCGAGTGGCTGCCACCCGCACGACCAACCAGGGCCGGGGACAAACTGCAACCGAGGTACATGCCCTTAGCGGGAACCGAACCTGGGTCTCTCGGGACCGCAGGCCGATGCTCTAACCGCTGAGCCAAACCGGCCAGGGCAATTTTGACATGTTTTAAAAAGAAGTCATACCCTGGCCAGTCTGGCTCAGCAGTTAGAGCATCAGCCTGAGGACCAAAGCGTCTTGGGTTGATTCCTGATTAAGAGCACATACCTGGGTTGCAAGTTCGATTCTTCACCCTGGTTGGGGTCATATAGTAGGCAACCAATCAATGTCTCTCTCTCACATCAATGTTTCTATCTCTCTCTCCCTCCCTTCTACCTTATCTTAAAAAAAAAAAAGTGGAAAAATATCCTCAAGTGAGGATTAAAAAAAATTTAAATAAAAAGAAGTTATTGCCAGCCCTGGCTGGGTGGCTTAGAAGGTTGGAGCATTGTCCCATACATACAAGGTTGTGGATTCAGTTCCTGGTCAGGGCACATACCTAGGTTGTGGGGTGTATATGGGAGGCAAAAAATTGATGTTTCTCTCTCTCACCCCTTTCACCTCTCTCTAAAATTAACAAAACCATCCTCAGATGAAGATTAAAAAAAAGTCATTTCCAATTTGAGAAAATATTTTAAATTAAGCTTTCTGCTAGGAGGAAATCCTATAAAACAATGCATAGATTTAACAAGGTTAAAAATGTGTTTGAAAAAAATTTATTAATGTGTTTGACTACTCATAATAGAGTCCATATATACATTTATTTAATAATAAATGACTACCTATTAAGTGCTGAGACTTTGGGTCTATCCTGGAAACAACAGAATAATCCCCATCTTCAACTTCTTTTCTATTATTACCTTCCAAAGGCACTTAAATATTCTAAATTCCTTTTTAAAAAACAACAAAAGGCCCTGTCTGGTTGGGCTCAGCGGTTAGAGCGCCCGCCTGCGGTCCGGAGAGACCCGGGTTCGGTTCCCGCTAAGGGCATGTACCTTGGTTGCAGTTTGTCCCCGGCCCTGGTTGGTCGTGCGGGTGGCAGCCACTCGATGTGTCCCTTCACGTCGATGTTTCTCACTCTCTCTCTTCCTCTCTCTCCCTCCCACTCTGTCTGTACAAAAAATGGAAAAATGTCCTCGGGTGAGAATAAAAAAAATAAAAATAAATAAAAAACAACAAAAGACCCTTCTTCAAGTTTACTCACTTCTACCATCTTATTATTCTTTATTTTTTATAGCTAAATTATCTACATGGCTGTACTCAAGTCCCAATTTATCTCCTAAAGCAGAGGGTTTAGTTAGAAGTATGACAAGGTATTTATCCCTTTGATTTTTTCAGATCTCAAGGTTGCCAAGTGGGAACTACTAGGCTCCTAATGAGCTAGGCCACTTACCTCCAGGCCTTGAACAGTCTTCTCTGCTCAAATATTATCATTTTCTCTGTGTACCATAACGTGGATGTTGGGCAGGACTATCCAATACCTTCTTACCCTACCTCTTCTCTTCCCTTCTTCCTTCCTTTTCTAATGTTTTCACTGATTTTATTTTATTTTTTTAATTCTCACCCAAGGACATTTTTTCGTTTTTTGTTCAGATAGAGTGGGAGGGAGAGAGAGGAAGAGACAGAGAAACATTGACGTGAAAGGTATACATCGAGTGGATGCCACCCACATGACCAACCAGGGCTGGGGACAAACAGCAACCGAGGTACGTGCCCTTGGCGGGAACTGAATCCGGGTCTCTCTGGACCACAGGCCGATGCTCTAACCGCTGGGCCAAAATGGCTAGGGCTGTTTTCACTGGTTTTAGAGAGAGAGGAAGGGAGAGGGAGAAAGAGATGAACATCGATCTTTCTCATGCCCCAACTGGAGGTCAAACTCGAAACCTGGGCATGTGCCTTAATCAGGAATTGAACCAGCAACCTTTTGGTAGAAGGCACTACGCTCAACGAACTGACCCACACAGGACAGGGACATGCCCTTCTTAATCAACAGTAATCTGGATTTGCTCTTACTACCAGAAAGAAACTAGTCTGGCTATTGTGATGCTTTTCCTTTTTCTAAGTCTAATGGATGCTTTTGTAGTATCCATTTTACTTATGGGTAGCATTTGACCCTCTCCACCATTAAGTCCCTCTTTGGCACTCTATCCTGATTTTCCACTTTTGATTGCATAAAAAATTTTTTAAAAAAATTAATGAATTTCTTATCTTTTGCTAGCCTCTTAATTGTCAGTTTTTCTCATGTTTCAGTCCTCAACCTTTTTCTTTTTAAATTTTACCTTCTTCTCCAGGTTTTAATCATTATTACAGTCACTACTTCATTTTCTACTATTATCTACAGACCAAAACTAACTGTAGCATGTATATGTGTATTTGTATGAATATAAGTCTGGGGAAAAAAAATGGTTATATTTAGGATCCTCAATCCTTTCATCCAAAACTTTCATTATGGTTGAAGTACATGCAATTTCTAAATACTTCTTTATACCTTTTGCTTTTGTTCTTTTGTATGTCATTTTTTTCTTCCTAGAATAGCAAACGTTCATTAAGCACTTACTAAGTGAGACACTGTGTTCAGTATTTATTTAAACATCTCACCAACTCCAGTGAGTAGTAATTATTATACCCCTTATTTTAAAGATGATAAAATGAAAGCTTATAGTAACTTAAATAATCTACCTAAGGACACAGGGCTAGTGGCCTCAACTGCTCTTCCCCTGCAGTCTTCACCTGGCTAGTCTCTATAATTCCTACTTATCTTTCACTACTCAGTTTATGGGCCATCTATTTCAGGAGCCAATTCCCTAAAAAAACACAAAAAAACAACAAAAAAACCCCACCCCCAGTTACCCAATGTAGTTTATAAATCGCTCCATTAAATGTATGTTAAATGAATAAACCAACTCTCTATTTGCAATTTAATATTCCTTGAAGATCTGGTTACACAAAAGGAGTATTACATGACATATTTCCCATTAAAATTAATAAACTGGAACTTTACATAAAATTAGTGTCTTAGAAATTCTTGATTTGCTCCACTGAAATAAAATGGTATAGAGCAAAGGACAATGACAGCAAAATAATAAATCCAGGATTAAGTTATGATTTTTGTCATTTCCTAGCTGTGAACAAACCACTTAACTCTCTCAAAACACTGGTTTTCTTTTAATCCTCACACAAGGACGTTTTTCCATTTTTTTGTTCAGATAGAGTGGGAAGAAGAGAGAGAGAGAGGAATATCAACGTAAAAGGGACACCAAGTGGCTGCCACCTGCATGACCCAACCAGGGCCAGGGACAAACTGCAACCAAGGCGCATGCCCTTAGTGGGAGTTGAACCCGGGTCTCTTGGGACCGCAGGCCGATGCTCTAACCACTGAACCAAACCGGCCAGGGCAACACTGGTTTTCTTATATGCTAATAAGGAAACTAAAGAATAAGAAAATCTTAGAAAGACAAAAAAGTACACAAACATCATCCTTATGGGTAGAATTGTGTACCCCCAAATCCATGTGTTGAAGTCCTAACCTTCAGTACCTCAAAATGTGATTATATTTGGATATATAATCTCCCAATCATTCAAAGGAGATAGTATACCCATATTAAAGTAAAAAATAAGTTTAAAATTCGGATAAATTAGAGGGCTTTTTCCAAAGCCATGAAATAGTAGACACAGGTTTTTTTTTTTATTTATCCTCACCCGAGGATATTTTTCCATTTTTTTGTACAGATAGAGTAGGAGGGAGAGAAAGGAAGGGAGAGAGAGAGAGAGAGAAACATCGACGTGAAGGGACACATCGACCAGGGCCGGGGACAAACTGCAACCGAAGTACGTGCCCATAGGGGGAACCGAACCCGGGTCTCTCCGGACCACAGGCCGACGCTCTAACCGCTGAGCCAAATTGGCCAGGGCTAGTTCAAAACAGGTTTTGAAGAGATAATTAAAGTAAAATAAGGTCAAATGGGTGACCCATAATCTGATATGACTGTTGTCCCTATATGAAGACAAGAGAGGACACAGACATATGAAACTGTATGAGGAGACAGTCAAGAGGCCATCTGCAAGCCAAAAAAAAGAGGCTTCAGAAGAAATCAAACATGCTAATAATTTGAGTTTGGACTTCTAGAACTGTAAGGAATAAATTTCTGTTGTTTAAGCTACTTAGTCTGTGGTATTTTGTTATGACAGCCCTAGCAAACTAATACAATTGGCATTTCTATACAATCAAAGCAGTAATTCACATAAGGGCAAATAAACTAAAAGCTAGAATCAAGTCTCCTAATTCAAAGCTGTTAGAAAGAGAGCAAGTACTATTTAGTAACCCATCATGAAAAAATAAGAAGATATGCAGCTTATCTACTAGAAAAATAATTATTGCAAGGGAAAAGTATTCAGTTTACAACAGGAAATCATTAGAAACAACTGCATGTATGAAATTATAGGAACAGTTAATAAAAAACAGTAGCTATCAATTATGCCAGGCTGTTTACTTTTATTTATTTATTTATTTATTTGGTTAATCCTCACTCAAGGATATTTTTCTATTGATTTTTAGAAGGGAGAGAGGGAGAGAGAGAAAAATAGATGTGAGAGAGAAATATTGATTGGCTGCCTCTCACATGAGTTGGGGATGGAAGCTGAAACCCAGGTATGTGTCCCTGACCAGGAATTGAACCTATGACCCTTTGGTCTGAGGGCTGATACTGCAACTGCTGAGCCAAACTGGCCAGGACCAGGCTGTTTACTTTTTATGTATTATCACTAATTCTCACAATTTTTCAAAGGTGATAGTATACCCATATTAAAGTAAAAAAAAGTTTAAAATTCAGATAAATTATAAGGCTTTTTCCAAAGCCACAAACTAGTAGACACAGGTTTTGAAACCAGATTAGTCTAATGGCAATCTTGTGCTCTTTTCTTTTTTTTTTCATCCTCACCTGAGGACATTTTTCCATGTCTTGTTCAGATAGAGTAGGAGGGAGAGAGAGGAACAGAGAGAGAGAGAAACATCGACGTGAAAGGGACACATCGAGTGGCTGCCGCCTGCATGACCAACCAGGGCCGTGGACAAACTGCAACCGAGGTACGTGCCTTAGCGGGAACCAAACCCGGGTCTCTCTGGACTGCAGGCTGATGCTCTAACCGCTAAGCCAAACTGGCCAGGGCAATCTTGTGCTCTTTTCAAAACACTATTCTGTTTTCACATATCTCAAGTGAAAGTGATGTAATACATACTAAAGAACATTCTGGCCTGGTCGGTTTGGTTCAGCTGTTAGAGTGTTGGCCAGCGCTCCAGAGAGACCCTGGTTCGGTTCCCAATAAGAGCACATACCTTGGTTGCAGTTTGTCCCCGGCCCAGGCTGGGGTTGTGTGGGTGGCAACCACTCAATGTGTCTCTCTCACATCAATGTTTCTCTCTCTCTTCCTCCCTCTCGCTCTATCTGAAGATGAATGCAAAAGTGTATCCTTGGGTGAAGATTTAAAAAAAAAAAGAATAGTCTGGCCCCGGCAGGTTTGGCTCAGTGGTAAGAGTGTCAGCCCTCAGAGCAATGAGTCATGGGTTGGATCCTGGTCATGGGCCCTGGTTGGAGTCGTGCAGGAGGCAACCACTCGATGTGTCCCTCTCACATTGATGTTTCTCTCTCTCTCTCTCCTTCCCTCCCACTCTATCTGAAGATATCCTCAGATGAGGATTAAAAAAAAAAAGAATATTATGTGATCATCAAAATCATTGTAAGAACTCAAAGGTAGCCCTGGCCAGCTGGCCATTGGTTTGAGTGTCATCCCATACACCAAAAGGTTGTGGCTTTGATTCCTGGTCAAGACACATACCTAGGTTATGGGTTCGATGCCCATATGGGAGGCAACCGATTGGTGCTTCTCTCTAATATCGATGTTTATTCCTTTCTTGAAAAATCAATAAAAATATATCTTCAGAATGAGGAAATATATATACAGAGTCTCCAGCCTCAAGTTCTGCTGTCCTAGAAACATCTTAAGATTTTATTTTTTTCTTAAAATATGTTTTTATTGATGTTTTAGGATGAGAGGAAAAGAGAGAAAGAAACATTGACTGGCTGCCTCCTGCAGGCCCCATACTGGGGATCGAGCCAGAAACCCAGGTGTGTGCCCTGACCAGGAATCAAATCAGGACCTCTCAGTCGATGGGATGACTCTCAATCCACTGAGTAACACCAGCTGGGTAAGATTTCATTAAAAAAAAAAAAACACAAAAAAACAAGAGAGAGAAAACGAACAGGCCTTTCTTTCAACTTGAATGATGTATGCTTCTCCTATTAAAAAAGTATATAGGGAACCTTTTCAGGTCTACTTAGGGACCAAGAATTTAAATTTACAACACTGTAGTTTCAGATTATATTTTGTTTTTGAGTAAAAAATTTCCTAGCTTACCTTATGGCTTCTGAATCAATATGCACAGGTGCAATTCTTTCCAACAGAAATTTGACCATCTCTAAAAAAGGATTTGTTGGCTGCTTAGGATTTGCAAGTTTCCGAGCTATTTCTCTCTATAAAAAGGAGAAAGTTTTACCATAAGTATGATTCACTTTTATGTTTTTCAAAATAAATATGACTGTAGGCATCAAAAGCATTTAAAAATTCAAAACCAGAAGTAAAAAAACAAAAAAACGTTCTGCTTTAGATTCGGACTAAAATTATACACTCCTGGAGCAATCACTGCAAAATCTGGACTATGGAGAATAAAAATGGGATAATGTGGTATGATTTATGCCTTTGTCTCATATTTCTCCCATAAAATTATTGTTAGTAAACAATTTTTAATGCTCTACTTTTGAAAAATTGGAAACAAAACAAGGTATACTTTCATGGATATGTTTATTTCATAATTTGACAAAATTTTTATTTCAGTAATTTGTTTATTAAAGAGAGATTCATAAGTGTATAAATATTTATAAAGATTTTTTTTTTCTGGAAGAACATAGCTGAGTTTGAAGATAGTGGCATTATATCAAATAGATCCTACAAAGAAAAGACACTGTTGGAAGTGTCTAAAGAATATAGGACTTAATGGTTATAGGGACTGAATCCCCTCAAGACAAGGCTAAAGTAATACTATGCTGGGTACTGGGAAATATATTTACTTGAATAACAAGGCTTTTAATTGAGAATCTCTGAGAAGTGTAAAATTTTAGCTGAGAAGATAATGCACATTTAAGGGCTTTCAAACTATAAAGCAATAACAAATAGTCACTCTACAAGCTTTTTCTAAATGTCCAACTTTTTAAAATTATAGTTGTCATACATTATATTAGTTTCAGGTGTACAACACAGTGATTTGACATTTATATACCTTAAGAAGTGATCATGAAAAGTCTAGTAATAATCTGTCACTGTATAGTTTTTGGGATATTGACTGTATTCTCTATGCTCTACTTTACATCCATGACTTATAACTACAAGTTTTAACCTCAAAATACCCTTCACCTTTTTGCCTCCACCCAACCCCCTCAACTCTCTGGCAACTATCAGTTTGTTCTCTCTATCTACAAGTCTGTTTTGTTTTGTTTATTTGTTTAGTTTTTGTAGATTCTACATATAAATGAAATAATACAGTTTCTCTTATTTTGCTGAGCATAATACCCTCTAGGTTCATCCATGTCGTCACAAATGACAAGATTTCATTCTTTTTCATGGCTGAGTAATAGTCTAGTGTGTGTGTACCACTTTCTTTATCTTGTTATAGCCCTTGTTTTGAAGTCTATTTTGTCTGTTCTAAGAATTGCTATCCTAGCCTTTTTTCCCCTTTCTTTTTTTTTTTATCCTCACCTGAGGACATTTTTCCATTTTTTTGTTCAGATAGAGTGGAAGAGAGAGGGAGGGAGGGAGAGAGAGGGAGGGAGGGAGGGAGATAAAGAGAGAGAGAGAAACATCGACGTGAAAGGGACACATCGAGTGGTTGCCACCCGCCTGACCCAACCAGGGCCGGGGACAAACTGCAACTGAGGTACATGCCCTTAGCGAAAACCGAACCCGGGTCTCTCCAGACCGCAGGCCGACACTCTAACCACTGAGCCAAACCGGCCAGGGCTCCCCTTTCTTATCTCCATTTTCATGAAATACCTTTTCCATCCCTTTACTTTAAGGCTGTGGGTATGTCTTTTGATCTGATGTGAGTCTCATGTAGACAGCATATATAAGGGTCTTGTTATTTTTATCCATTCAGCCACCCTGTATCTTGCATGGAGCACTTAGTCCATTTACATTTATCTTTATTTATTTTTTTAAATCCTCACCCGAGGATATTTTTACATTTATCTTCAGATAAAGTGGTGGGGGGCAGACTGATGTGAGAGAGACACATCGACTGGCTGTGCCACCCACATAACCTCAACTGGGGCCGGGGACGAACTAAAACAGAGGTACGTTCGTCCTTGGCTAGCATCAAACCCAGGTCTCTCTGGTCTGCAGGCCAACGTTCTAACTGCTGAGCCAAACCGGCCAGGGCAGTCCATTTACATTTAAAGTAATTATTGACAGGTGTGTACTTACTACCATTTTTATTGTTTTCATACTAGACTTATAATTAGTTGGTCTGCTATCTTTACTATATGTATGCTTTTACTAGTGAGCTTTTTTTCTTTCATATATTTTCTCATTTCTAATTTTGGCCTTTTCCACCTAAAAAAGCCCCTTCAAGATTTCTTGTAATGCCAGTTCAGTGGTGACAAACTCCTTTAGCTTTACTTGTCTGAGAAACTCTTGATCTTTCTTTCTCATTCTGAATGATAACTTTGCCAGGTAGAGTATTCTTGGTTGTAGGCCTTTCCCCCTTTCATCATGTCGAATATACTGTGCCATTCCCTTCTGGCCTGCAAAGTTTCTGTTGAAAAATCATGTGATAATCTTAAGTGTTGTTGTTGTTGTTTTTTTTAATAAAAAAGAACATTTTAGCGATGTATGTTCAGTGGGACAAAGGAAAAAAATTCTATTATAGTTTCAGTGACATCTTGATACAAATTAATTATAAAGATTATATTAAATTAGATAATATCCATATTTGTTAATAGAGTCCAAAGGACTGAGATTCTGCAGAAAATATATTAGTCCTAGAGATCCCTGATTTTCTTGCAGGCTATTAATTAACTAGGCAAAATTCAGCAGTTGAGACAATAAGAATATTTTAGTCAGTGCTTAGTCCTTACATACTTTGCTCTAAGCCAAAGGTACACATTTTTGTTTTTATTCTCACCCGAGGACATTTTTCCATTTTTTGTTCAGGTAGAGTGAAAGGGAGAGAGAGGAAGGGAGAGAGAGAGAGAGAGAAAAACATCAACGTGAAAGGGACACATTGAGTGGCTGCCAGCCACACGACCAACCCTGGCCGGGGACAAACTGCAACCAAGGTATCCGCCCTTAGCAGGAACTGGATGAACCTGGGTCTCTCTGGACCGTAGGCCTACACTCTAACTGCTGAACCAAACCGGTCAGGGCTAAAGGTACACATTTTAAATATGAATATATACACTGTATTATTTTTTGAAATCAAATTTACTTTGTGCAGGTCTCCACAAAAGGGACTACTTTCCCCCGAGTATAAGATTTAGTTGCTTTTACCTAAGAAAATCAGTAATTGTCTAACAATAAGTGAGCCTCTCAGAAAACTACTAGGCAAACTATTTTGTCAGTACTTTGGAATAGGTTACTAAAAAAATGGCAAAATTAGATTTTAAAAAGGCAGTTAAGGTACTATGTTCAAGTGTAGGGAAAAAAAGGAATGCTGAAGGGAAGAATTCATAATTATTTAAATACTGTAATGGCACTATATAAATTATACCTATGCATATAAACAATATTAGACATAGTTTTTAAAACCTGACATTTTTGTATTCCCACATAACAATCTTATATTTAAGTAATCCTTCCTAACAATATTTTTTATATGTAAGATTTAGGTAATCTCTCATAACAACTATTTGAAAATATATTATGTGTGATATTGGTGACAAGCAGCAAGCCAAATTAGTCTGTGGCAAATAAATAACAACAAAATAAACAGTTTCCTTGTTTTCTTTACACATTCGAGAGAAAAAAGGTACCCACACATACTTCCAATACACAAACAGAAACACTTAAGACCAAGAAGTTTTATTATTGAAAAATAATTGAGAAAATGTTAAATATAAGTAACCATATGTAATCCTTTTAGGAAATGACAGTAGAAAGAATAAAGAAAAAGAATTCTTTCTGGCCCAGCTGGTGTGATTCAGTGGACTGAGCATTGTCCCATGCACCAAGAGGTCATTGGTCAGAGCACATGCCCGGGTTGCAGGCTCAATCCCCAGTAGGGGGCGTGCAGGAGGCAGCCGACTGATATTTCTTTCTCATTGATGTTTCCATCTCTCTCTCCCTAAAATATCAAAAATAAATAAATAAATAAATAAAGAATTATTTCTGTATCTTTGACAATGTTTCAGAAATTTCTGATCAAACCATGCTATTTGCTGTAGACTGATATACTACTGATATGTGTTTACTGGTTGCATAAGTTGTTTAATACTAAGTACTCTTAAGAAATGAAATAGCCCTTTTCCATGTGCCCAGATAACAATATTGGTGAATATGGTAATGGCAACCACATCATCCATTCAGCTTTTCCTTTCTGCAAGTTCTACAATATTCTCTTTTTAAAGGCACGCTTTTAAAAATATATACTTTTAGAACACTTTTTGGATCACTGCAAAATTTAGAGGAAAGTAGAGAGAATTCCCATATACCCCTGCCCTTCCCATTCGCAACCTCTCCCACCATTAAATCCCAGCATCAGTGTGATATACTTGTTAAAATCAACGAACCTACAATGACTCATCATTATCACTCAGCATCCATAGTTTACAGTAGGGTTCACTTTTGCTGTGGTTCATGCTGTTTTGAGAAATGTATAATGATATATATCCACCATTATAATATCATACAGAAGAGCTTCACTGCCCTAAAAATCCTCTTTGCTCTGCCTATTCATCCCTGCCAACTTCCTTATCTCTGGCAACCAATGATTTTTTTTACTGTCTCCATTGGATGTCATATAGTTGGAATCATACAGTATGATCTTTCAGATTGGTTTCTTTCACTTAACAATATGCATTTAAGGTTCCTTGGTACCCTGTTGAAGATCATTTGTTATACATGGGTGTTTGTTTCTAAGCTTTCTGTCCTGTTCCATGGGTCTGTCTTTGTGCCAGTACTGCACTGTTGATTGCTATGGCTTTGAAATGTGTTTTGATACCAGAAAACATGAATCCTCCAAATTTGTTCTTATTTTTCAGGATTGTTTTGGCTATTTGGGGGTCCCTTGAGATCCTATGTGAGTTTTAGCAGATGAGTTTTCCTATGTCGGCAAAAAATGTCATTGGGATTTTGGTAGGGATTGTGTTGAATCTATGGATTGTGTTGGGTGGTATGAACATCTCAGCAATGTTGGGTTTCCCAAACCATGAACACAGGGTGATTTTTCACTTTTTTGTCTTTGATTTTTTTCCCCAGCAATGATTTGCGGTTTTCAGTGCACAAGTCTTTCACCTCTTTAGTTAGGTTTATTCCTATGTATTTTATTCATATGGATGCGATCATAAATAAAATGTTTTTCTTAAAAGCAACAACAAAAAGAAAATAGCCCCTATTCTTGGTAGGCTTACCATCCATTAATCCTGTCATTACAAAAATTTTAAAAAGAGCTGGCTGGGTAGCTCAATTGGTTAGAGTGTCATCTGGATAAGCCAAGGTCATGGGTTCACTCTCCAGTCAGGACACATACGAGAAGCAACGAATGCATAAATAGGTGAAACAACAAATCGATGTTTCTCTCTAAAATCAATAAATAAAAAATAGTATTCTTTCAAGTACACAGTATTACCCCTTGTACACCTTGTTTTCTTAGCTGATCAAAATGACTCCTTAGGGGCGTGGCCCATGTGGCTCAGTTAGTTGGGTGTCATCCTGTGCACTGAGGGTTTTGCTGGTTGGGGCATGTGCTTGGGTTGCCCCAGTGGGGGCGTGTGTGGGAGGTGGCCAATAGATGTTCTGCTCTCACATCCTATTTCATTCTTTGTCCCTCTCCCTTCTTCTCTAACATACATATATCTACACACACACATACACATATATACATATATATATATATAAAGACTCCTATGGGGATTTAATAGTATCAATATTTTTCAAAGCTGTAATCAGTAAACTAGATAAAGCAGTTTCTCACAAGAAGCAATTTCCAAAGGTTTAACTTTCATGTTATAGTGACCTAATCTTTTGGATTCCTGAATCAAATTCCAGTGTGATAGGGGGAGATCCTCCCATCAACAAGCAATTTTCTAGACACAAGCAGGATGTCCCATAAATCAACTTAATTCTGATACTGTCTTCCCAGAGATAGCATCAGATCCCACAGGCTAAGGGTTCAGTTCTGTGGGACTCTGCCCTCACTCCAACTTCAAATGCTAGTCAAAAGTCCAGGCTGTCACCTGTGCATCTCACTGAACAGCTATAGATGGGAGTTTCCAAAATCTCTTCCTTAGACTTCAGATGCCAGCCAAGTCCACTTTGTTGCCTTTACTTCAACCAACTGGCTATAAATGAGAGGTTCCCAGGACACCCTCCTTCCGTGGGTTTAACTAATCTGCTAGAGCAGCTTACAGAACTCAGAGAAACATTTTACTTATCAGATCACCAGTTTTTTATAAAAGGATATTAACTCAGAAACAACCAAGTGGAAGAGATGCATAGGGCAAGCTTCCATGTCCTCTGGATGTGTTTGCTGCTCTCCTCAGATCTCCATGTGTTCACCAACCTGGAAGCTCTCTGAATCCTGTCCCTTTGGGGTTTTATGAAGGTTTTATCACATAGGCAGGATTGGTGAAATCACTGGCCAATGGTAACTGAACAAAATCTTCAGCCCCCTTCCTCCCTGGAGGTAGGAAAGAGGGACAAAGTTCCAACCCCTCTAATCACATGGTTGGCTCCACTGGCAAGCAGCCCCCATCATTAGGTGGCTACCAAAAGTCACCTCCTTGACATAACAAGACACCTTTGCTGCTTTCATAACCTAGAAAATTTCATAGGTCACCCGGTCAGTGTGGCTCAACAGTTGAGCATCAACCCATGCACCAAGAGGTTGCCGGTTCAATTCCTGGTCAGGGCACATGCCCAGGTTGTGGGCATGCAGGAGGCGGCCAATCAATGTTCTCTCTCATCGATGTTTCTATCTCTCTCTCCCTTCCTCTCTCTAAAATCAATAAAGAAAAAAAAAAAAGTTTAAAAAAAAGAAAATTCCATAGGTCTTAGGAGCTCTGTGCCAAAAACAAGGTAAAGACTAAATATACTTATTATTATTATAAATATATTATTATTATTATAAATCACAATATCACACTTGTGTATCATACTCATTCAACTATAGAAAAGGTTACATTAAAAGAAAAAAGAGGATCATTGGACACAGACATTGAGTTGGGGAGAACAGGAGGTGGGTGGGAATGAGGAGAAGGGGATGTCAAGGGGAAAAAAGGTGAGACATCTGTAATAGTTTCAACAACTAAAAAAAAAAAAAGGATTTTATGCATAGCCCATGGACACAGATAATAGTGCAGTGAAGGCCTGGGGTGGGCAGGAGCCGGGTAGAGGAGGCTGAAGAGGGGAAAATGGGGGACATCTGTAATATTTTCAACAATAATAAATAAAAACCTGGGACTCTCTGGTCCACAGGCCGAAGCTCTAACTACTGAGCCAAACCGGCCAGGGCTCTGACTCATCTCTTAAAGCCTGGTGCCATGCATAGTGTGTGTTATATATGTGTAATACCATAGAAATACAACTTATTTAAACCCTAAAGGACAGGCAGTGCAAGATCATGTATTATACACACCCACAATGTTCTAATGACCCTATGAAAGTGTTAATATTTGTAGATGAGAAAAAAGAGGCTCAAAAATATTAAAGAACTTACTAAAGGTCACATTAGTAGTAAATGGTATGAAGAAATTCAAACATAGAACTGTCTCATAAAATGCTAAATAAATGAATGAATAAAGTTTTCCTTCCTGATATTTTCAACAATTCTGGTTTTCTATAAAATAAGGAGTCCAAGAATAGAATGAAGATAAAAGCCTAAATAGGAATTATCTTATCTATACATATACATACACCAATGTAACTACTGCTGATTTATTGACAAGGGTTATCTCCATACTAATATATGGGAGAAGAAAATGTACGCACAAACGAGCATTTAGAAAATTCTTATTTACTTAATGAATGTCTACTAAATACAAAGCATTTTATCTTGCTCAATTCCTAGGACCAATCTCCCTGGCTTAGTTCTCTACTGCTTTTCCTGGAATTTGGCTGAAGAGTGGTAAGTATAGAGAACTAAGATGTCGACAGATATACTTCTAGTTAATTCAGAGCTTCAGTGTTGGTAAATTCACACAAATAAAATAGTATCTGTAAAGCAGGTTTTAATAAAATATGATTTTCTATTAGCAAAGTCAAAAGAACAAATGTAAACGTATAATTTACTAACCACACAAACATCTGCCTGCTTGCATGAACAGGTTGGGCTGATTAATAACTCCAGTTGAGACCGCAGTTTCTCATCATCACCGAGAACCTGGTTAAATTTCTTCACAAAATCTTGTGCTTTCCCAGGGTCAGGCAAATTTTCTATGAAATTAAAAGAGAATCAATATTACATAAGAAAAACTACTCTACTAAACTAACAGGAAATTGTCTTTAAAATAATGCTGAGGCCCGGCCAGTGTGGCTCGGTGGTTGGGTGTTGGTTGACCCATGCACCAAGTGGTCACCAGTTAAGATTCCCAGTCAGGGCACATGCCCAGGTCGTAGGTCCAATCTCCAGTGGGGGGCATGCAAGAGGTGGCCAACTGATGTACCCTCTCATTGATGTTTCTATCTTTCTCTCCCCATCCTTTTCTCTCTTTCTAAAATCAATAAAGAAAAAAACAAAAACAAAAACAATAATAATGCTGAGCCAGCAAGAAAAAAAATCAGCTTAACTGGTACTTAGAAATAAAATTACTAAGAAAAGGATCATTTTCTCTAACTTAAATTGATAGTCCCATTGGGTAAATTATTTGTCTGTTTTGATGTTCATTGTATCTATCGAAAGAGTGAATAAACATACTCACTTGCTATGGTCATCAGTTTTCCAAACATGGCAGAACAGTTAGCCTCTGACTGAAATTTAAAACAAAAACAAAAGAATTCATATATACTAACAAATTTCTGTAAAAATAAATATATGCTCAGTATTATGTATTTTTCAAATTAAAAAAAAAAATCATTACAATTTAACCACTAGAAAATGAATTACCATATTTAGGATAATCATATGTACACCCTAAGTTGATAACAAAAAATTGTGTAGTAGCAACAACAATTAACTTAGGACAAATAGAAAGGAGATGTCAGCAGAAACAGGTATTTAAAAATTTATAGAGTATGTAATTTCCATAAGAAAATTATTGTGCCAGAAGATTGAACAGAATTACTTTGACATAAAACAATTAGATCAAAATTACCTTGAAACTATACACCAAATAAAAGTAACTAAAAATGTGAAGAACAGGATAGTTTTCTTCCCGAACAGAGTTGTATTAGTTATTTTGTGGCCCATTATTTAACCTCAGAAAATCACCTCCCCTACAAAATGTGCTTCCCTTTGTAAAGTGTGCTCCATTACAATAAAGTATGACTTAAATTTTTATGAAACTTGAATAACCTGGATCAGAAATTGGTAAACTGTGGTTCCATGGACCATCTATTTTTGTTAAAATTTTACTGGAGCCCTGGCCGGTTTGGCTCAGCGATTAGAGCGTCAGCCTGCGGTCCAGAGAGACCCGGGTTCGGTTCCCGCTAAGGGCAGCTTGCAGTTTGTCCCCTTGGTTGCAGTTTGTCTCTGGCCCTGGTTGGGGTCAAGCAGGTGGCAACCACTCAATGTGTCCCTTTCACATCGATGTTTCTCTCTCTCTCTCTGCCTCCCTCCCACTCTATCTGAACAAAAAAATGGAAATGTCCTCAGGTGAGGGAAAACAAAAAGTTTTACTGGAACACAATCACGACCATTTATTTACATATTTTACTATCTTGTCATTTACAAAAAAAAGTCTGCTAACTATTGCCTTTAGTGTCCATGTGCCATTGAATGGTTTAAGTCTGTGGTTCCCTGATTAAGAACATGTGTTCTAGTAAACATATTTAGAAGTATATTACAAGATCATTGTTTTTTTCCCCTATCTTCCAGAAAATGTTAGGCAGAATTTTTTTGTTCAAATAGTTTGACTTTGGCAAACTATTAGGATTGACACCTGAGATTTGATACTGATTCTCCACTGAAAGACCAAAAATCATAAAGTAAAAAAAACTTATTACTTCTAATTTTAGCTTAAAGTTTAATTCTAATTATTTGAAGATGGACAAACTATGTATAAAATCTTAAGTGTCTAGCCCAGTTGGTGTGGCTCAGTGGATTGAGTGTCGTCCCGTGGACTGAGAGGTCTTGGTTCAATTCCAAGTCAGGGCATGTCCTTGGGTTGCGGGCTTGATCCCAGTAGGGGGACGTGCAGGAGGCAGCCAATTGATGTTTCTCTCTCATCGATGCTTCTCTCTCTCTCTCTAAAAAATAAACAAAAACATATTTATTTATTTAAAAAATTTTTTTCTTTATTAATTTTAGAGAGAGGAAGAGAGAGATAGAAACATCAATTGGCCACCTCCTGCACGTCCCCTAATGGGGTTCTGACCCACAACCTGGGCATGTGCTCTGACTGGGAATCGAACCAGCGACCTCTTGGTGTATGGGTCGACATTCAACCACTGAGCCACACCAGCTGGGCAATAAAAATGTATTTAAAAAAATAATGAAAAAAGCCCTGGCCGGTTTGGCTCAGCGGTTAGAGCATCAGCCTGCGGTACAGAGAGACCCGGGTTCGGTTCCCGCTAAGGGCATGTACCTCGGTTGCAGTTTGTCCCCGGCCCAGGTTGGGTTGTGTGGGTGGCAGCCACTCGATGTGTCCCTTTCACGTCGATGTTTCTCTCTCTTTCCCCCTCCCACTCTAACTGAACAAAATATGGAAACATGTCCTCAGGTGAGGATAAAAAAAAAAAAAAAAAAAAAAAATCTTTATTTCTAAAAAAAAAATAAAAAAATCTTAGTTTCTAAATATTGATAAACTAGAAAACACCATTTCTTCCCTTGTGGTGGAAAATAAAATTTTGTTATATTTGTTTGAAGTGGAAATTTAGCTTGGATAACTACAGAAATTATATTTAACTGTCATCTGGAAAATAAAACACTTGCGATAACTTCAGAAAACTGAGTAATGACCATAACAATGAATTTAAACAAATCACAAACTTACTGTAGGCTGCTTGTGCAAATCCAATAGTTCTCGTACATGACTTCTAAGCATGTTCTGACATTTCCACATTTCATTGAGAGCTCTGTAAATAAAGTTATAAATATGAAAAAAAGGGAATAATACAACAATACTGGTAATTATTTAACTTTATTATTTTCTTATTGTGTAGATGCATCATTCTTCCAAATCTACCTAAAATTTTAAGCACCAAATCATTTATTAGGATTAAGATAGTTTAATGTAAAATGGTAAATATAAGACTTCTTTTGAGAAAATATTTGAGAATATTAGAAGGATAAACAGCATCTTGCCAGGTAAATGAAGGGATTGAGAACCATTCTAAACAGAGGTAGCTAGAATGTTCTGGTAGAAAGAAAGAGAAAATGTTATCAAAATACATGGCATATACTATAGAAAAGGATCAGATAATGAAGGCTTTATATGCCAGGCTAAGGAGGAATGCATAAAGGTCTGTAGACTATTTCAAAATATAAATTTCTTAGAAATTATGTAGATTCAAAATGCCACATTTAAATTGAGTGTGTTTATTCTAAATTCTTTTCTCTCCATAAAAGCGGATTTTCTTCTCTCACAAATCCACTCCATAATTCCAAGTGCCCAGATGACCTCTGAGAAATTAGTCTATCTCTGAGTATTCTTTGCAAAATATTCTGAAATATAAACTGAAGCCAGGAGTTTACTAACCAGAGTGGGTATTAGGAACCACTTGCAAATCTTTTAATAAGGGACAGCTAATGCCTCCTAACATGCTACCTCTGGAATTTCTGTTGAAAAACCATAATCTCAATCTAATAAACACCACAAGAACCCAAATTGAAGTAACATTCCACAAAACAATTAGCAAGCACAATATTCTTCCAAAAATTGTCAAAATCATAACAAAGAAAGACTAGAGGCATGACATAAGAGACTAGAAATATGAAAACCAAATATGCAATGTGTAAACCTACAAAGAGAAAATAAATATCCATAAAGAACATTATTTGGACAACGGAGGAACTCTGAATACATAATGGATTAGAAAATAATACTATATTGTTAAACCTCTTGATTTTGGGTACTCTTGTTATATAAGAGAATATCCTTGTGTTCTTAGGGGATACAGACTGAAGTATTTAGGGATAAAGGGATTCAATGTCTTCCAATTACTCTCCAATAGTTAAGAAGAAAGTATGTATATGGTCATTCTACATAGAGGAGATTTGGACATACCTGCCTGACAAAGAACCAGTCTGAGGCTTAGTATGGTAAAGCCCCAACAGTGTAATTTAGACCCCGGTCAACAGGTGGACAAAAGTTAATTTTGACATGGGGACTTACCTGAATCCCCAAAACCATTCAGTTGGCAAATATGCCTATGCATATAGGAATATTCTTGCTTTTGACTTAACTTGAACCTACCAAGTTTTTCTCTATATATATTTATCTGAGATTCTTGATTCAACAAGAAAGAACAACCCCATCAACAACAATTAATTAGATCAGATAAAATAATTTTATAAGAAATTCAGAAAAATAATCCAATCATTAAAAAGTAACTTACTTGACAGCATTTGGATCCAAACTAGCATATAAATAATACAAGCATTTCATTCTCTCTTCTGTTTCCAGGTTGTGGGGGACAAGATACTGAGCAAAGATTTTCTCTACCAACAGCCTATGAAACAAAAAACCCCAAAAAACATAATTAGTCTATTTTTTAGAGATTTTTCTCTACAATCTATGAAACATACACCTCCCCAAATAACACTGTTCTGCTTTTTAAAAACAGCTACTTTGTATTTTAAGCACATCCTGCAAAATAAACATACCAATGGTAATATGTATATGTGCAAATACAATGAAAAAGATCAGTTCTTTTCCTTGGAGGTATAATTTTTTTAAATATTTAGAGCTATGGTAGCTATTTGTGGCTTTATTTTTTAATTTGTCAGTATGAAAAATGTGTTCTAAAAGGGTTATATGTTATTCCTAAACACAGGTTGCTAGGGTACTAAGTTACCTATTCTTCCATCGGTCTGGAGCCTTAACAAATTACTAACACTATATAAAGCTATAATCTCAAAAATAGCTAATTCTCAAAAACAAAAACAAAAAAAACCACAAAACCACAAAACCCCCAAACAACAAAACACATTAAGTTCTTTTGATTATAGTTCAACTTCTTTCTCATTAAAAAAAAAAAAAAAATCAGGGGGATCTTTCTTCATACTATGTACTGAAAATTTAGCTTTTCCCGTGTACATTTGATCTCTCTTCTTTCCACAGTGTACTAAGCTTATATTTATTATTCAGTCTTACTAGAATAAAACAATACAAAGGCTCTTCATTAATTAATAAAATACATATCCAGTGATGCAAAGTAGTCAGTCTAATTCAGTAGCACATTACAAAGTATTCTGCAAAAAAACCAAACTCATTATTATAATGTGATATAAAATAAGAAGTAATGCCCAGACAGTGAAAATGACATAAGGCCTCACCACAAAATAATTGTAACTATGAATGGGGACAAATGTTAACCAGACTTACTGTGGTGATTGATACAGAATCATTGTGTTGTATATAATTATGTCAATTACACCTCAATAAAAAACAACACAGTAATACCTCTATTGGTACTTACAGTGTTGCAAAAAGGAAAAATAATAATTAGCAATTATTAAATAGTGCTATATTGCTAGGTATAGAGCTGGGGGCTTTACATTCATTATTTTATTTAATCCACATGACAATTCTTTAAGGAAGGCTTTATTATTATTCCTTTTTAGATAAAACTGAGGTGGCACAGAAGTTGTCAGTTGTGCAAGAGCACACACCTAATAAAGGGCAGAATGAATGTTTGGTCTCTAGTCTGACTCCAAAGCCTATGCCTATTTCACTATTATTATGCTATCTTGTAATATTGGCTACAGTCTTACTTAAACATAGTATGTATAAATACACAGTTTACATACTTACAACTTATTTAAAAATTAAATAGAAGTAAATTCTATTTTTTAAAAATTAAAAGCACTTTTATATCGAACCATTCTATCAACATATTACTTACTTGTCATCGATGCTATTCTGATAATAAATATGCAAAAGTTTGTCTTTTATCCAGCTGACTTTCTCTGCAGCTTCCTTTCCTGCTTCACCATGAAGACAGTATTTCTTATAAAGCTGAGCCAAACCCATCATAGCTTCTTTTCTTACTCGCCACTAGAAAGTATAAAGTTTATTGGATGAGCTAGATACCAAACTTTAGTATATACTAATCTTCAAAAATTGCCAGTTCTTTCCTAGGTTGTACAATTAGACTTATGTGTACAAAAACTGGCATAATATTTATATTTTAGGAGGCACACAAATTGCTTAACCAACAATTCTGAATTTGTTCCGACTTAGAAATCAGGCTACTTTAGGAATTATCCAATGCAAATACTGCTAAATCATCTGCCAATTTTTATTTCCCTCAAAGCCAAGGAATAGGAAATTTTACAGAAGATTTCATTCAATACTGTCTAAAAAATGTTGGTCAAGTTTTAGAAGCAATTAAAAGATAAAATAAACTGTGTAATATACTCTGTAAACAAAAAAGGAATGGTTTATGCCAGTTACATCCCATTTGATGTTAGCTGAGAACAAGAGCAAAATTTAATACCAAGATTCTGTAATTACTAAGTTGGAAAGTACCTTAGTGATTATCTTAAGTGAACTTCATTACTTTATAGATTAAGAGGGCAAATGATTTACCTAGCCACATCCTAGTTAGTGAAAGACTCTGTGGGACTTCTGAGTTTGGGATGAATTACTAGTTGGGAAGAAAAGTGGTAGGAGGAGGGTGAAGAACCATGACAGTAAGATGTAATAAAAGCAATGATCAAATAAGATATTTGTCTCAATAACAAATCAGAAAATACTATCTTTAGTTTATTTGTTAATAATCCCTTATAAAATTTTTGTAGTGGATGGAATGAAACTTTGCTCCCATAGATGGCTTTTGACATTTCTTATATGAAATCAAACAATTTAAGCAGTAAAACCTAAGATTAAGCTCTGTCCCTACATTTTATAGAGAAAATAAATTTCAGAAAGGCTATACCCAAGGTCATCTAATTTATTACAACTAAAATGTCCAGTAAGTGCTATTTAGAACCATAGCACATGATGCAGTCTCAGGAAGATTCACTCATTCACTCTTTCTGAAACTATAAACAAACATTGATAGAAATAGAAAAGTTTCTAAAAGAAGGAAATAACACAAATAGCAATACTTTAAATTGGTTGTGTGTGGGCTGTGGAGTGGGCTAATTATCAAGTAACCAGTAGGGAGAGTATTACACCATTTAAATTCAAGTCAAGGGGAAAAACTCCTCAAAGTCAGAATTACTGATATAGCTAACCAAGTTAAACAGTGTCCATGTTACATAACTGCCTCCTCTGACTATTTTAAAAGAACTTAAGAATACCTCTTGCTTTATTTCATAACCAAGAAATATCACTTTTCTACTCTGAAATTATAACTAAAGTACATTGGATTTGAGAGAAGAGTAGGTTTTCAACCATGCCCCAAATAAAATAGCACAGTGCAAAGGCAAACCTTTGTTAAAGTTTTTAATAAGTAGCATGTCTAATCAGCCTGCCTTGCCTATGTCTGTCTTTTGCTTATGGATGACATTAAGCCTTAACAATTGCTACTGCTGTTCTTACTTCTTTTCTGTATCAACCCATGTTTTTAACATGGAGAAAATCACACAAAAAAGAGTAAATAAACACAAAACTGTCATTTCTGCTCTTGGCATAGCAATATGAAAACATCACCGTCATAGAAAGTATGATATTCTTGCCCTGGCTGGTATGGCTCAGCGGTTAGAGCATTGGCCTGCAGTCCAGAGAGACCCAGGTTCAGTTCCCACTAAGGGCATGTACCTCGATTGGCGTTTGAACCTGGCCCTGGGTCATGAGGGTGGCAGCCACTTGATGTGTCCCTTTCATGTCGATGTTACTCTCTCTCTCCCTCTCTCGCTCTCACTCAGGTGATGTCCTCAGGTGAGGATTTAAAAAAAAAAAAGTATGATATTCTTTTAGTTAAATGAATGACAGCCAGATCCACTTATAGTTGAAAATGCTAACTATAGGTAATAAATATAGGTGATCAGTCACTACTCTTTTGAAACTCATCATATAAGTGAAAAGGTAAAATAAAACTTTAATTAGGCTATTGTTTTTTGAAAAGTAAAGTAGAAAGCAAACCCATGACTAAGATCTGAAAAGCTACAGAATCTAGTGCACTCATTTTATAAAGGTAATTAAAAGTACACAGAAATATAAATTATTTGTTCTTTATTTAGCATTTTATTAATTTGATTTTCACACAGAAAAGCTTTAAATATAATAAAAAATAATTTCTATTGCACTTAGTAAACAATTTAAACAAAGTAAATTACAAAAGAATAAGGTTCCTCAGAGTTTACCCGTTTATCCAGCGTTCTTTCCCTTACAAAGCCAAGTAGCTGATCATTTACTAAGGCAAGGTCTCTTTTGGCAGCTGTTATTATGGTAACAATAACATCGTGACGAATAGCTTCTTCTGGATCATGTGATCTAACTTTCAAATATTCTGTAATAAGGGAAAAAACTCATGACAAATGTTAGCTATGGTATCTGTCATGTTCAGAATGACAGAATGGATTACTGCTTTAAGCTTTTGTCCATACTCACACCATGTTTGTAAAATGTGGCATGAATTAAAAGCATTCTATTTTTGAGGTGACAATACCTTTCTATATAACCATAAAATAAACTATACCATAGTATTTACTATTGCATAGTCATATCTTAATAAATAATGTATTCTGGAAAAGTCAAACCACAACGCTGTTATCTGATCAGATTACAATCTAAGTTATAACACAAATTGAAAGACTTAAAAGAAAAATAGTAAAAATGCTTATAGCAAGTTCGCTGATGGGTATGTCTGCACATTACACAATATAAAATATAGAATTAACATTCTATAACCTATTAAAAATTCCAAACAAAATCAAAATCAAAACAAAAACTGTTACTTCCTCTTTTATTGGTGAACATCATTTTGATACAAGCCATTTATTTGCTATTACCAAATAAATAGGTTCAAATGCTCTATGTTCAAGTAAAGAATAAGAAATTCTAGTCTAGTCCAGAAGATAATTACTTTCCTACTTATTAACTGATAGGTTACTATGTTTAATTTTCATGTAGGTGTAATGATTTCATAAGATATCATAAGAGCCTACCCTAGTTCCTCAAACTAGAATGTCCAAAAAATTCTAAAGGATTACAATATTGTATAAACATGATATCATTCACTAGTCCATGGCTGATATAGACCTGAAATAGTGCCAGAGTTAAAACCTAATTCAGAAACTGAAGTTAAGGTTAAAGGCCACATCTAAAATATATTAGTGTAATTACTCTTATTTACTCTTATATTTGTAATATAAACCAGCTACCTTACCTGTGAGATCCTTTGCTAAATCTGGGTGATTCATCAAACAGTGACTAGCAAATTTCACACTTTCTAATCTCACAGGAACATGAATATCATTAAATCTACATATAAAAAGATTGCGAAATATTAGTTTTAAGGCAAAACAATTATTTTCAAATAAAGTACATATAGCCAACATTATGTAAATGACTATAAACAACAGTTACTGATTAGAAAATTGTGATTAATATGACAGTTAACAGGTTCTATAGGAAGAATATAAAGTATGATAATACATAATTTCACAGAAACATTTTTTTATTCCTCACCCGAGGATATTTTTCTACTTATCAGATAGAGTGGGAGGGAGGGAAAGAGAGAGTGACAGAAACATCAATGTGATACAGCCACACAGACTGGTGGCCTCCTGCAAGACCCAACCAGAACTGGGGATGAACTGCAAATGAAGTACATGCCCTTGACCAGAATCGAACCCGTGACTCATTGGTCCATGGGCCAATGCTCTAACCGCTGAGCCAAACTGGCCAGAGCTCACAGAAACATTTTGAAAACAGAATTTGTTTACTGCGTTAAAATAAACAAAAAACAGTCTAAACCCATCTCCCAACTCAAACTACTAACTCTGCAGAGCAAAAAGTTTAAGAGCTTAAAATTGTGCTACAAAACAAACAAAAAATAAATACTGAAAACACACAAAATCTACTTGAAAACATTTTTTTGTTATCTTCACCCGATGACACTTTTTTTTTTTTTTTTTTAATCCTCACCCTAGGACATTTTTCCATTTTTTGTTCAGATAGAGTGGGAGGGAGAGTGAGAGAGAGAGAAACATCGACGTGAAAAGGACACATTGAGTGGTCGCCACCCACATGACCCAACCAGGGCCGGGCACAAACTGCAACCCAGGTACGTGCCCTTAGTGGAAACCAAACCTGCGTTTCCCTGGTCTGCGAGCTGACACTCTAACTGATGAGCCAAACTGGCCAGGGCTACTTGAAAACATTTTATAAGAGGAGAATATGATCAAACAAGTGTTAGCGAGGGTGTGGAGAAAAGGGAACTCTAGTACACTGCTGGTGGGAATGCAGACTGGTGCAGCCACTATGAAAACAATATGGTGTTACCTCAAAAAATTAAAAATTGAACTTCCATTTGACCCAGTGATCCCACTTCTAGGAATATACCCTAAGAAGCCTGAAACACCAATCAGAAAGATTATATGTACCCCCATGTTTGTAGCAGCACTATTTACAATAGCTAAGATCTGGAAACAGCCCAAGTGTCCATCAGTAGACGAGTGGATAAAAAAGCTGTGGTACATATACACAATGGAGTACTACGCAGCTGTAAGAAGGAAAGATCTCTTGTCCTTTGAGACTACATGGAGGGACCTGGAGAGTATCATCCTGAGTGAGGCAAGCCAAACAGAGAAGGACAAGTATCATATGATCTCACTTATTCGTGGAATATAATGAACATAAAGGTTTGAGGAATGGGGTAGTCCCAGAGACGTGGAGGTGGGGTACAGACTGACAATCCCCAGAAGAGGGGATGGTGGGGAAGAGATAAACCACAGAACTTATATGCATGTATGCATGAACAGCGGACATGGACAATAAACTGGGGACAAGGCGGGGAGGGAGAGGGAGGGGGGAATCAGTGGGGGAAAAAGGAGAAACATCTGTAACAAAAATTAATTAATAAAAAAGAAAAAAAAAAGAGGAGAATATGAGTTAGAAGGCAAATCATATATGAAGCAGATTCAGAAGTTTAAAGACGAGTACATGAAACTTGTGTCACACTGCCTCACAACAAAGTTTCATATGGCCAGGATCAACATCAAAATGCTCTTTTAAAGGTATAATATAAGAATTCAAAAAATCTGAAGTACCACATGTGAACTCAAAACTGCATATAAAAAAGACTGCACATATAATAAAAATAAGCTAAGCAACTCTCAGGTTTAAAATTTATTATTAGGCAATTTGAAAAAGTTATTAATTATAAATAATGTGATTTTAAATGGCAGAAAATATTTTTACTTTTTAAGTGATCTCAAAAACAACCAATTAGCCCTGGATGGTTTGGCTCAGCGGTTAGAGCGTTGACCCATGGAAGAACGGTCATGGGTTCGATTCCGGTGAAGGGCACATACCTTGGTTAAGGTTTGATCCCCAGCCTTGGTTGGGGTTGTTCGGGAGGTGGCCAGTTGATGTTTCTCTCTCTCTCTCTCGCTCACTCGCGCTCTCTCTCTCTCTCTCCCTACCTTCCTCCCCCTTCCCACTCTATCTGAAAATCAATGAAGCCCTGGCCGGTATGGCTCAGCGGTTAGATCGTCGGCCTGCGGTCCGGAGAGACCCGGGTTCGGTTCCCGCTAGAGGCACGTACCTCGGTTGCAGTTTGTCCCCGGCCCTGGTCGGTCGTGTGGGTGGCAGCCACTCGATGTGTCCCTTCACGTCGATGTTTCTCACTCTCTCTCCCTCCCATTCTATCTGTACAAAAAAAATGGAAAAATATCCTCGGGTGAGGAAAAAAAAAAAAAAAAAAAAATCATGAAAATCAATGAAAAAATGTCCTTGGGTGAGGATTAAAATAAACAAACAAAAAACAACAACCAATTAAATTAAAGTTATTTATTTAGCCCAGCCAGTGTGGCTCAATGGTTGAGCATCGACCCATGTACCAAGAGGCTGTCGGTTCCATTACCCGTCAGGGCATATGCTCAGATTGTGGACTCAATCCCCAGTGAGGGGCAAGGAGGAGGCCAATCGATGTTCTCTCATTGATGTTTCTGTATCTCTCTCTCTCTCTACCTTCCTCTCTAAAATCAATACAGAAAAGAAAAAGTTATTTAATAAATGTTTTAATGTCCATGGCCTCCTACTTTCTTATCTAGAGATAATCATATTTTAATAAAATCTTGCATTTAGGGTTTATAATTTTCTAACTGCCAGAGAAAAATAAAAATATTGCCATTTATGATCAAGTAAATTATGAATATTAAGATAGTTAGTCCTGCCCTGGCCGGTTTGCTCAGCGGTTAGAGCGCCAGTCAGCGGTCCAGAGAGACCCGGGTTCGGTTCCTGCTAAGGCCATGTACCTCGGCTGCAGTTTGGCCCTGGCCCAGGTTGGGGTTGTGCGGGAAGCGGCCACTTGATGTGTCCCTTTCACGTTGATGTTGCTTTCTCTCCCTCCCCCCCCCCACTCTATCTGAACAAAAATGGAAAAATGTCCTCGGGTGAGGATAAAAACAAACAAACAAACAATAAAAAAGATATTATTCCTAAATAATTAAGAAAAACAATACAGTAAAACAGACAGGCTGGTTAATACTTCTTTGTTTCTATGAAACAGAGACCCACTGTTGGAGATAGCAGTGAATCAAACTATAAAGAAAGCTTGTATGGTTGGTTTAATTTTCATAAGTAACACAGGTTGAAAAAAAGGATTCTTGAACTTTTGTTTAGATGTTTTGCTATAAATATTGATGTCAATCACAAGGACAGAATCATTCCTCTGTACATTGACAAGTACAGTTGCTTCATTCTTTCTATTCTAAATTCTTATAAATTCAACTTTATTCAAATATTACTTCTATTATGTGTCTGAGAAAGTAACTTAAGATAGCATTATGCCAATGTCTGAAATTTCTCAGCTTTGTTTGTTATATTTTAATATTTAACCTAAGGATATTATAAGGAGTATACGAAATTTACTTTAAGAAAATTTCTGAGCCCACTTTTTGAATCAGTTGAATTAAACAATGATGAATCTCAAATGTTCTCCAGAATACCAATAGTAAAAATCAACTTTTCAGTCAATGTTTGAAGCTAAGAAATATGCATAGGGAATGCAAGGGGAAATTTAATATATGTCATAGATTTTTTTCAACCTTACCATCAAGTTAATAGAATGTAATAATTCTAAGTTCTTAAGAAACATTAAAAACTACTTGAGTGAAGAGGAATAATATTTCATTTCAAAATCAAACAATACCAAATTAGTTCAAAACACATATCATGAATTAGATAAGCTACAGACCCAAAGATAAGCACTAGGTAAATGAACTGCTGGACTGAAAAATGGCATGAGTATGTCTTCAATTTCATGATTTATTTAAAACTCTTAAGATTTTGAACATTCTTAGATGTTGTCTATTCTAATATTATTGAGCACAAAAAAGATTAAAAGTGTTAAGTGGGTAAATAATAAGCTTTCTTCACAAAAATCTGTCCTATAATTTGTTCTCCAAGAAAGTCAGCAACAGAGATACTAAAGAAAAAAACACATATCAATTAAAGTTTTGATATGTGTGGTTTTAATCAAGTGGACCATACTGACTGGCCTCCCAAATATAAAAGAATTCATAGAATTGTATGTTCTCTTACCGTCCAAGAAAACACTGCCAAAGAGGACGATTCTGTGTTGCTAAATCGGAATCTTTAGAACCAAACAATTTAGCTAAAAGTCGAACAACTGCTAATCGTTCTTCTCCATCATTGCTCTAAGGAAAAAGAGAAAATAAATGAACCAGCAATTTATCAGATCACAGAAAATAAAATAAAAGATTCCCAAGAGGCCACAATTTCATATTCTGCTTATAATGATGAGAACTTTAAAATATACACTCTCTTTTACCATGTAGAAATTGTTTTGACTCTATGTTAGATGACCTGATTCTTTGATCTTACTTAAAAACCCTCCCAACTGTTAACTTATGCGTACTTCACTGCTTGGTTATAGTCTACACAGCCGTTGTAGCAAAATGAAGGTAATCATTCAGTTCTAACATTCCCTAAGACTCTTAGAAAAAAATATGTGAAAGGTGAAACTGCAAATAATTCCCATCCTAACAAGCCTTCTTTACAAGAAATCTTTCCTATAATTTGAGTTCCAACATAAACCGTATCAATTAAGGTTTTGATATGTGAAGTTTTAAACAAGGACCCCCCTACTGACTGGAGAACAAGACACAGAAGAGTGTATAATTGAGGAAAACTCATTTTAATAGAAGAACAAAAATGTTAAGAGGACCTAAAAGTGAACTGAATACTATTTTCTTGTCCTGAATCAATTTATGTTATGAAAATTCTGTTCCAACAAGTTTCACTAGTGATGTCACTTCTTAATATAAATTATTCTGAAACCATATGGTATGAAACTTTTAAAAAATCACATATTGCCCTGGCCGGTTTGGCTCAGCGGTTGGAGCATTGGCCTGCGGTACAGAGAGACCCGGGTTCAGTTCCTGCTAAGGGCGCGTACCTCGGTTGCAGTTTGTCCCCGGCCCTGGTTGGTCGTGCGGGTGGCAGCCACTCGATGTGTCCCTTCACATCGATGTTTCTGTCTCTCTCTCTTCCTCTCTCTCCCTCCCACTCTATCTGAACAAAAAATGAAAAAATGTCCTCGGGTGAGGATAAAAAAAAAAAAAAAATCACATATTCACTAGGAAAACAAAGGCAACAACTAAAAGCAATTGTTGATTTTTTAAGTGTTCAAATACAATGTCTAAAGCAATACCAGAAATCCAATAAACAAATATTCATGGGAAAAGACTGTAACTTAAAAAAAAATAATAAAGACCATGAGATATAATCTTTTCCTTATGAATATCAACTCTCAGGAATAGGGACTTTATGGGTAAAATAGCACATGTATCAAACATGTAAAAATGAAAATTTTATTAAGTGTGAACACAATCAATCACAAAATGACTTTTTTTTCTCCTCACCAAGGACATTTTTGCATTTATCTTCAGATAGAGGGGGAGGGAGAGAGGGAGGAAGACAGAGAAAAACATCAATGTGGGAGAGACACATCAAGTGGCTGCCATCCACATGACCCTGACCAGGCCGGAGACAAACTGCAACAGAGGCACATGCCCCTAGCGGGATCTGAACCCAGGACTCTCTGGTCCCCGGGCCAACACTCTAACCGTTGATCCAAACCGACCAGGATCGAATGACTTTCTTTTTTTTAAACTTATCTTTATTGTTAAATGTATTACAGATGTTCCTCATTTTTAAGCTATTGACCCACTCCCGCCCCTCTCCTGCCTTTCCCCACACTGTTGTCTGTGTCCATTGGTAATGCACATATGCATATAAGTTCTTTGGTTTATTTCTTCCCACACTCCAACCACCCTTCCCGTTGAGGTTTGTCAGTCTAGCAACCAATTTGTACTTCTTAATCCCTTCACCTTTTTCACCCATTCCCCCAACCCCCCTCCCATCTGGCAACCAACAAAATGTTCTCTGTATCTATGAGAATGTTTGTTCTGCTTGTTCATTTTGTTTGTAGATTCAATTGTTGATAAGTATTCATTGCCATTTTGTTTGTTCATATTTTTCTTTTTTTATCCTCACCCGAGGACATTTTTCCATTTTTTGTTCAGATAGAGTGGGAGGGAGAGAGAGGAAGAGAGAGAGAGACATCAACGTGAAAGGGACACATTGAGTGGCTGCCTCCCACACGACCCAACCAGGGCCGAGGGCAAACTGCAACCAAGGTACGTGCCCCTAGCAGGAACCGAACCCGGGTTTCCCTGGACCCCAAGCCGACGCTCTAACCACTGAGGAAAACTGGCCAGGGCTGTTTGTTTATATTTTTCATCTTTTTCTTCAAGAAGACCTTTCAACATTTCATATAATAAAGGTTTGGTAGTAATGGACTCCTTTAGCTTTTCCTTGTCTGGGAAACTCTTTATATGGCCATTGATTCTAAATGACAGCTTTGCAGGATAGAGTGATCTTGGTTGTAGGTTCTTGCTTTTCATCACTCTGAATATTTCTTGCCACTCCCTTTTGGCCTGCAAAGTTTCTTTCGAGAAATCAGCTGACAGTCTTATGGGAATTCCCTTGTAGGTAACTAACTGCTTTTCCCTTGCTGCTTTTAAGATTCTCTGTCTTGAACCTTTTGCATTTTGATGATGATGTGTCTTGGTGTGGGCCTCTTGGGGTTCATCTTGTTTGGGACTCTCTGTGCTTCCTGGACTTGTATGTCTGTTTTCTTCATCAAATTAGGGAAGTTTTCTGCCATTATTGTTTCAAAGAGGTTTTTGATTTCTTGTTCTCTCCTCTCATTCTAGCACGCACAAGATGTGAATGTTGGCACGCTTGAAGTTGTCCCAGAAGCTCCTTACACTATCCTCATTTTTTAAAATTCTTTTTGCTGTTCTGATTGGGTGATTTTGCTTCCCTATATTCCAAATCGATGGTTTGCTTCTTGGCTTTACCTACTCTACTACTGAATCTGTGTAAATTATTCTTTATTTCAGTTAATGCCTCCTTCATTTCTGACTGTGCATCCTTTATTTCTTTTATTTTTTATCCTCACCCGAGGACATTTTTCCATTTTTTATTCAGACAGAGTGGGAGGGAGAGAGAGGAAGAAAGAAAGAAAGAGAGAGAGAAACATCGATGTGAAAGGGACACATCAAGTGGCTGCCACCCGCCAGACCAACCAGGGCCGGGGACAAACTGCAACTGAGGTACATGCCTTTAGCAGGAAGCGAACCCGGGTCTCTCTGGATCACAGGCCGACGCTCTAACTGCTGAGCCAAACTGGCCAGGGTTCAGTTCGTGTCTCCTTCATTTCTGACTGTGCATCTTTTATTTCTGACTGGTCCTTTTTAATGCTCATGAGGCCCTCACTAAGTTTGCTAAGGTTCTCACTAAGTTCACTGAGCATCCTTATAAGCAGTGTTTTGAACTCAACATCTGTTAGGTTGCTTATCTCCATTTTGCTTAATTCTTTTCCTGGAGTTCTATTCTGTTCTTTCACCTGGGACCTGTTTCTTTGTCTCTTCATTATGGCTCTCTCCCTATGTATTACTTAACAAGAGGTATGGGGCTAGCTGAGACCAAGTGCTGTCTGAAAGAATTTAGGAAAACCTGAAGCAGGATCCAAGACAGGCCAATCCTATGGTAAAGCAACGGGCAACAGCTTGGGTGGGCCTGAAAGTTGGGTGGGGCAAGGCCTCAGGGAATCACTGGAGCAGTGAAAACAGTGTGAACCAGGTTGTTGGAGTCCCAGATATGGCGCCTCTCTGCCGCCCCAGGGAAGGGCTAACCAAAGGAACAAAGGCCTCTGACAGCATGTCTGTCCAGGAGAAAGCCCCCTCCACAGCCCTCGCTCCAATGCCAAACAGCTCAGTTCTTTCCTGTGTGGCTCTGGCACCCCTCAAGCTGCTTCCCCTCTAAACTTAGAGGGAGCAAGTCCAAGTAAGTCCATGCGTGGGGCCTTTAAGAGGAGCTGCATGGGGCTCCAGCCGCCTCAGCCTCCCTGAGCCTCAGTTCTTGCTGGTTTTTCTAGCCAGAAGTGATGGGGACTTCTCTACCTGGCACTGGCACCCTGAGCTGGGTGCCTGGTGTGGGACGGGGACCCCTCAGTCCTCAGGGAGGACCTTCCCAGCTGAAGGATCTCTCCTGATTTTTATCCGCCACACGTGTGTGTGGGACCAGACTGTTGCACCTCTGCTCCTCCTACCAATCTCAATGCGGCTGCTTCTTTAATTTTGTCGTTGTAGGACTTCCATTCAGCTTGATTTCAGGTGGCTTTGAATGATGGTTGTTCTGTAATTTAGTTGTAACTTTGATGTCCAAAATGACTTTCTTAAGCAAAGTTTTTCTCAAGCGATGTGACAATAATGCAGATTAGTGCTGCCTTTTAGTAAGTACAATTGACTAGCCAACGTGATGAATTTTTTTCAATAAATCTATCTCTTAAATGTCAAACACTAGAGTAAGGGGAAGTTTTATTCTACTTGCTAGTGACTACTTTAGTAGCTTAGTGATGATTTCAAATGGTGTGACATTTCACATCTATATATTTAACTACTGAAATAAAAATAAGTGAGAACTCACCCCACTTTTTAAAATTTTAAATAAATTCCTTGAGTGAGGTTAGAATATGACTTCAGTGATGGTAATTATTTTTTGGGTGCAAAAATAATGTAAAACTATATTATTAATCTATCCCAAAGTGTAAAATTATCTCATTAAGATATTACATAACACATTAATACAAATGCATATATATCTTAATAATTAAAACAGTGGACAAATATTAGAGATTTTGCACCAACAATTTATCAGTGACTTTCTAAAAAAAAACCTCAAAGACTACTCTTAATTTTTATTTCTCTTCATCCTAGCTAGAAAAAGCAACCAACAGCAAAGTAACTGATTAAGAATAATTACTTGAAAAATTTCACTCTATCCCAAATAATGTAATAGTAACTTTTTTTTTTTTTGAGAAACATCATTGTGAGAGCAGAACATAGACTGGTTGCCTCCTGCACGCTCTCTACTGGGGATGGAGCCTGGGCATGTGTCCTGACTAGGAATCGAAACAGCAACCTTTTGGTGCACGGGACAATGACCAACCAACTGAGCCACACCAGACAGGGCAATACAGTAACTGTTTTATAATGCTTTAACATTTGGGGAATCAGAGTAAATGTCAGCCCCACCCCCCCTCACATGCCATGAAAAATGTCTTAAATGTAAAACGTGGCAAATTTCATGGTAACTATAGCCAAGACTGCTAAGTAGCACAACTCCAGGGTACTCCTGAAACATATGAGAATAACACTTTGTGGACCTATGCAGTGGACAGTATATATAGTTGCATGCAGTGACCCAGTATAGGGTAAAATCAAACAAATTGTAACCTGTGACTCTTAACTATTAAAAGCTGTAGCTATATGATTCAGAGATGTAACTACAGAAAAATCACCGTTGTAGTAACTTCCTAGGCTATCTACTCAGCACATACTGGTAACTCCAAAAGGAGACACCCTAATTATATAGATAGTACCTAAACTACTCCGAATCTCAGTTTTTTCATTCATGATGAGATAAGTAATACTGGTACAATCTAGGGTTACAGGTAGCAAATAAGAACACGGGATGGCACCTTTTGTAAGACAATAAACACATATTCCATTATTACTATTATCTAGACACAGTATCAGTTCAGTAAAAAGTCTAAAAAGAACTGAGAATTTATCTAGGAACATAGAAAAAGAAAAATCAATGGCTTTGGGTTTTTTATATATGGTATTAAAACAGACCATATAGAAAAAACATTAACTCCCTATAGTGTTAATTAAAAAAAAAAGAAAAAGAAATTAGGAGTAATTGGGGACTGGGGTAAACTGAAAAGCTCATAATTCATTTAAGAAGTCATTACTGCTCAGTTTTAGCCGTTTTGTTGTCATGTAGAAATAAGGACCCAATGTTGTCAAATCATCTAGTTTTTTTTAAATCCTCATCCAAGGATATTTTTTCCAATGATTTTTTTAAATGGAAAGTGGAGGGGGGGGGGGGAAGGAGACAGAAATATTAATGTGAGAGACATTAATTGGTTGCCTCCCACATGTGCCCCAACCAAGTTTGGGGATCAAACCTGCAACCCAGGTACGCGCCCTTGATTGGGAATTGAACCTGGGACCCTTCAGTCCCAGGGCTTATGCTCTAACCACTGATCCACACCAGCCAGGACTCATCTGAGTTTTAAAAAAATTGTTGACACTATTATAGATGTCTCCCATTAAAGAAAATGAACTTAAAATTTTTTTTTCCCATTGATTTTTTATTTTTTTAGAGAGAGTGGAAAGGAGTGAGGTAGAAAGAGAGAAACATTGATGTTGAGAGAGACACATTGCTTGATTGCCTCCAGCACAGCCTTGGTCAGGGCTGGAGAAACCTGCAACCCAGGCACATGCCCTTGACTGGAATTGAACCAGGGAACCTTCAGTCCCAGGGCTGATACTCTAACTGCTGAGCCAAACTGGCCAGGGCACATCTGAACTTTTAAACAAAAGTTAACTTTTAAATTTATTCATACATTTAATGTTAGTAACTAAAGAGAGGAGTCTTTGTTATAAGATTTTTAAAAATCTATCAAATAAGCCCTGGCTGGTTTGGCTCAGCGGTTGGAGCGTCCGCCTGCGGTCCAGAGAGACCCGGGTTCAGTTCCCACTAAGGGCATGTACCTCGGTTGCAGTTTGTCCCCGGCCCTGGTTGGTCATGCGGGTGGCAGCCACTCAATATGTCCCTTTCATATCGATGTTTCCCTCTCTCTCCCTCCCACTCTATCTGTACAAAAAATGGAAAAATGTCCTCGGGTGAGGATAAAAAAAAAAAAAATCTATCAAATAAAACTTATTTTCAGGCTGGATTCAGCATATTAGAAACCTCTACTTTAGGTTTACTGAACCTACAGAAGAATGGGGTATGAGCAACCACTATAGCTTAGCTTCCCTCAGTTGACATTTAAGTCCATACATGGAAATCTAAAAGTTAGTTTCTAAAGCCTTCCTACTATCTATCATGGCAATCTTGCTTAAGAATTAAAGAGGCTTGCCCTGGCCGGTTTGGCTCAGCGGTTAGAGCGTCCGCCTGCGGTCCGGAGAGACCCGGGTTCGGTTCCCGCTAAGGGCATGTACCTCGGTTGCAGTTTGTCCCCGGCCCTGGTTGGTCGTGCGGGTGGCAGCCACTCGATGCGTCCCTTTCACATCGATGTTTCCCTCTCTCTCTCTCCCACTCTATCTGTACAAAAAATGGAAAAAAGTCCTCGGGTGAGGATAAAAAAAAAAAAGAATTAAAGAGGCTTGATTTTTCACATTCAGACTCTATGACTAGATGCTTTATACCTAGAAATAATTTGTCATGGAAACATCTTTATGCTGTTGTTAAAATAAACTCTTAATAAACAAATAAGACCATATTCTCTATATAACATTTTCCACACAACAAAGTTTCTTAGAAGCCTGGTACACCAATGTCCTTTATACTAAATAACAAATGCTTATAATAAAGACAGTTTGGACAATTCTTAATTATGTATACATGTCTTAACAGTCTAAAATACAAAGTTCTAATCCCAAATCTGTTTTAACTAGGCAAAAGATTTCATCTTACGTTTGTTATCTCAAAAATAAAAACTGTAATGTTGGTCCTAACTATACCATAGCTTAAAAATCAAGTAAGATATTTGATATAAAAAGCCTTTCAAAAAGTCCAGAATATTAAGCAAATGTAAGGTGTTATCTTGTGTAAACTAGAATAGAAGATCGAGTGTCAAATTCTTCATATTTTTAGAGGAGTTAGATATTTAACAAGGTAAGTTATAATTTTGCAATATATATTCTCCTGTGACCCAGATAAGAGATACCGTTTTACTCAAATGATTACAAAATGTATACCTTAACTAAATATAAAAAGGTAAACTGAACTCATATTTTACAACTAAAGAAAAACTAAGTCATATATATTTTTCTCTTAGAGCTTAAAGGGCTTAAAAATTATAATCAGTCCTACCTTCAGTTTGAATTCCAGCTGTGGCATGACAGATAATAATAAATGAGGATCTATAGCAAAAAGTTCCTGAATCAGATCAAACACATGTTCTGACAAATCACTTACTGATGATCTTCCCAGCACCAGGACTTGATTGAAAAACTATAGGAGATATTAAAACAAAAATAAAATATCCATTTCATTAAAAAACTTGGATAGGTTTTTTTAATAAACATGGTTTAAAAAACTATATAATTAGGCATTGCATATACAACTGAAGGGGATGAAAGAGAACAGATGTTTCAGTTAATATATGATAGGACAATCACCAAAACAGATGAAATAAACCTCTAAACATCAAATTATGAATATCATATGGAAGAGAAAGGTAAAAAAGAACTGAGTTGTTAGCTTTCTTTTAATATAGGATGACATTTCTAGGAATCTTAATTTTCATTAAAACAAAAAACTTAGTTTACATAATTCATCACAGGAAATTTTATAGAGATTCCTAATAGCAAAGTCTTAATTAATCTTTGTTATTTTTATTTGAATGTGACTAATTTTTCCATGACTTTAGTAATAAAGAGTATTTAAAGATGGGGATGAGTTGTTTTTTTAAATATTCAGAGAAAGTCAAATATATTGTGAGGCAGAGGACAAAGAGAAGAAAAAGCTGATGATATAAAAGCTAAATGTTAAAAGAATGTTAGAAAAAAACAAAGAGAATATAGTATCAAGAGTACAATTAAATGACACTTCCATTCCCTGTCAACCCACATACACACTCAGAAAAAAATATTACATTTAAAAATGCCAAAGAGGCAATTGTATGCAACCGATACAAGCATGTATTTTTCTGGTAGTATTATTAAAAGATATTTATTTTGAAAAGCAATATAAATTAGTTCTAAATAGATGAAGCTGTTTAAAGGCTAAATAAACCTATATGTGAAAGATTCTAATACATTAGCACACGGATTACGAATTACACAATTAAGGAATAAACAAAGACAGAAATACATACATTGGCAATGCATGCCTCAATAGTCTGGACTGTCCTTTTCAATAGGACTTTTGCAAGGTCAAAGGACTGTTTATTTAAGTTCTGAAACACAATACAAATATGCAAAGTTACAAATGATTTTGTGAATTTATGATAGCACCATTAAAACACTACAATCTTCAAATCTACAAAATATAAAGCAAAACATATAATGGAATCCCATTCAAGATTCTACCTAATATCCTCTAGTCTAGTCAAGTGGTCTAAGATACAGAATTTGGAAATAGCACAATGATGAATCAAAAACTAAAATAATACATTAATTAGCCACAGACTATGTTAAGTTTAGTTTTACTAAACTAAAAAAATCGACCTAAGACTTTTTGGTTTTGCTTGTTCACCAACTTGAACTGGCAATTAGACTCATGTATCCTAAACACACACACACACACACCCCGCCCTCTCCTACCCACAATCTCAGTATTTCACTGTCTAATCAACATGTGCTCTGAGGAAGAATAGCCTAAAGTTTTCCAAGTAAAATTGTCAATAATTATATTTATTTATTTATTCATTTATTTTTGTTCTTATAGAGGGGAGGGAGAGAGAGAGAGAGAAACATCAATGTAAAAGGGACACATTGAGTGGCTGCCACCTGCACGACCCAATCAGGGCCAGGGACAAACTGCAACAGAGGTACATGCCCTTAGCGGGAACCGGGTCTTTCTGGACTGCAGGCCGATACTCTAACCACTGAGCCAAACTGGCCAGGGCAATAATTACATTTTTAAATGCTGAGTACTGTGTTTGCTCTTCAAGATTCCTAATGAACTATAACATATTAAAGGATCTAAAAAGACTAGAAAAAATTCTTGTTTTGGATAGTACCTATTAACATCTCTATACTCTGAAGTTTTGGACCAAACTGAGATGAATTCTCCATCATTTTGCACCTCGTCCAAAAAGAGACTAGGAAGCCTATACTCTAGGTCAGTAGTCAGCAAACTTTTTATGCTAAGAGCTAGATGGTAAACATTCTAGGCTTTGTGAGACATATGGTAAATGCTGCAACTATTCAACTCTGCACCCATAGACAAAATAAAAATAAATTAGCATAACTGTACTCAAATAAAACTTTATTTGTACAAATAGACAGTGGGTCGGATTTCTGACCCTTGCTTCAGGCTTTTATTCCACTGACAAAAAGATAAGAGTAGCTAATGAAGGCAACCTTTGTATTTCTTAAAAGGCTATATTATTTTCTACTCATAAAAATACTAACTAGAATAATCACCAAATGCACTATGTACTCTTCCCAAAGTTTTCCCTCTTATTCTGCCTGACCTATACTACCCCCTTTGCCATAATATCAAAAATTTGACCAATTAGAGATTCATTTAAATCAATAAAATGCAAATAATATTTAGAGAATCAGGGCGTCAAGAGAGGAAGAACTTATAATTAATTACATCTAATATCTGATAACAGGTCACGGAACCATTAGAGGAAAAGAGTAGGAGGGTAAATATCAATAGTGGGGTAGGCCTAACTACAGCCTAGTGGTGGAGCTTGTGGGGGGCTAAATTCTTCACTTTCTTAGGATCAAGCATAGCAGAGAAAAACAGAAAAAGGAAACAGGAAAGAATACACAGCTCTGAAGCATCCTTTCCCCTTAACATTAAATGTTAATAACTAACGTTAATAACTATGATTAACATTAACCATAGTTCCTGCTTCCGCCCAAATCTTTTTCTGAAAAGTGCCTAAGAAAAATGTAGGGTATGGATTCTGAGAAGAAATACAAGTTCTATGCTCCACACCAATGTTACAAAGGAGAAAATACATTTTCTTTTATTAAAAAAAGCACACCAAAACAATAACAAACTAACCAAGAAAGTACTCTAACCCTTTATAATTCCCAAGTTAGATATGAGTTGTAGTTTGAAATATTTGTAATTTTCCAGAAAATAGGTAGCACTTAATTGAAGGAAAATGTTCCACAATATGTTAATCAATGTATCTTTTAAAAACAATAATAGCTATAAGTCTGATGTGTGTTACTCCATTTTATTTGGACTGAAGAATGATAGTAGAAGTAATTATGTTGGATTGCAAATGGTGAAAATAGTTATTTTTAATATGTGTAGTACTACCTTTAAATATTAACCTTTAATATTTTCATATATACAGACCTTATGTGCAGGAATGAGGTTAATAAGAATGGAGTCCAATAATTCTTGAGTAACTCCATCACCTTCCATGATGATAGAACTCATCAAGTCTAGCATATGCATTTGTACCTTCTTATTGTGGCTATTGCTAAAAAAAGAAACAAGAAAAAATCTAGGCACACAAAAAGAAAATTAAAACTTCTCAGTTTAAAACAACTATGTCAGATATATAAGGATTTTAAGTCGAGGGAACCATGCCAATAATGGCAAAGAAATTTTGGCTGCTCTATTTACTTTCGTCTTCTGTTGACTATTACAATAGTCATAAGGTACTGTTGTTAAGTATTTTATAAAAACAAAGACCTTTAAAATGAATTAAGTTTTTACACAATTAAGATTCAAGCAGTGAGTTAAATTAAAAAACAAAAATGTCAACTAGAAAGAAAAACCGTCTTTGCTTACACGGCCCCAGATTTTAAAATATGATAAAATTTGAAGTATGAAAACAAAAAAAAAATGACAAGATAATGAACGTAGACAGTTTTCCGTCCTTTTAGATCTTAATACATTCCTCCCAAATAAAACTATAAACATACACAAAAAAAGCCTAAACCATATATAGTACATATAAGTTATGCTACATATATTTGCCACTAGAAGTTTTAGTTCACCAATACTGAAAATCAAAAGTCTGATATAAGCCTGACCAGAGTGGCTCAGTGGTTGAGCATCGACCCATGCACCAAGAGGTCGCTGGTTCAATTCCAGGTCAGGGCACATGCCCAGATTATAGGCCTGATCCCCAGTTGGGGGCATGCAGGGGCGGCCAATCGATGTTCTCTCTCATTGATGTTTCTATCTCTCCCTTCCTCTCTCTCTAAAAATCAATAAAGAAAAAAAAAGTCTGATATAAAACGTTTACTAGAATTTATGACTAGAATGTTCTAAAAATGTCATCTTGGTATCTTTTAAAGAATTTCAAACAAACAAAAAAATTCAACAAAGTAATAAAGCCAAGAATCAGTTTTGGTCCTGTTTCCTTAAACCAATGAAGAGTTAACTGTAGTCCTCAATAAATATGCCTACTGCTGATACAAACTTACCTAAAGAGCTTGGCTAGACAACTGTTATAAACTAGGACATCTAGGCTTCTCTCCTTATGACTGCATCTTAACTAAAGACTTGACCTGTCCATGTTCACACTTGTCAGAATATATATGCAAAGACATATCAAGTGAAATGTTATAATTTACTTATACTGCTATAGATACAGGAAAGTTTAAATCAAGACCAAACTAAATTTTAATATAATTTATGTTATCTCTCAGCTATATTTAAAATCTTTTTTACTTAGTGGTAAAATGCAAAGATGAAAAATTTTAAAGTTGGTGGAAAAACTGTCATGTCGTTAGATACACAATTCTCTAACTTTTAGAAAGATACTCCTTTTGCATGCCTTCCAAAATATCTTCATGCTAAGTATTCTAAGAAAAACATTTCCTTATAACTCTAAAAGATGTTAATGTATATGCACAGCAAGAAAAAACACAGAAATGTTTAAAAAATAACTTACTTGATCACTGAGAAGAGAGTCCTAAAAAGCTGAATAAAAATTTCATTGCAATCTTCCAATTCGAAGCAGATGTTATATGATTTAACCCAAGCTAAATTCTTAAAAAAAAAAAAAAATTATTCACACACACAGAATAGTCACACAAAAGCAAATTCATTAATAAAATTTAATTTTTAGAATTAAAACATTTATTTAAAGCTTATAAAAGTCAAACATGTAAAATTACAGTTGTTCAAGTAGTCATGTATTCTAACCTTTGAAAAGACATAAATCTGCTGGCATTAACTTTCTTTAATTGAAAATACTAAATTGTTAGTATATATAACATATAAAATGTAAAAAGCAGTGAAAATCAATTCTACTTAATCCCTTTTTGGATTAGAAAAAAGTAAAAACAGAAGAATGAAAATATAAAGTTTCGAATAATATAACAGTTTTCCCAGTGAAATATACTTTATCTTTTCAGGACGCGAGGAGCAAATAAAATAAAATAAAAGACATTTTATTAAGTGAGCTTTCTATAAAACAAAAGATTCATTTTACATTATTAAGTTACTATTAAGAATTTTCTACTATGTGAAAATAGGGTGACATTTTTAAAATAAAAAATTTTTTTACCTCTAATAAATAAAAGTATCTATTAAACTGCGGACTCTTTGTATCCTCCAAACCTTTTAATTGTCTGGTAATAAACAAAAATATGTCCTGTTAAAAAAAAGATAAATTAATTTAGACAAAAATACTTTTTCTTTCACAATACACAAGTTTTGTGTGTGTGAGTGTGTGTGTCTACACACACATATACATATATATTTTTTATCTCTTACAAAGTACAATAAAAGAAAATTTTCCTTTAGCCAAATGACTTTGGGCTGGCCTATTCAAAATAATTGGAAAAGAGCAAATCATATAAAATTACATCCGTTAGAAGCAAACATAAAGAGCAGGATTTGATGAGCTCTAGCAAGACCTATGCCTCTATTCAGGCTGGCGCTCACTAAGGAGTAGGCCATGTTCAGTTTGAGCACTAAGATCATAAAGCCCAACAGCAAGAAGCCAGACAAGTTAGAGTATGGCATCTCCCAGGCTCTGCTGAAGCTGGAGATGAACTCGGATCTTAAGGCCCAGCCAGCTATGGGAGCTGAACATTGCAGCAGCCAAGGATACAGAAGTTGGTGACTGTTGCAAAGCTATTTATAATCTTTGTTCTGGTTCCTCAACTGATGTCTTTCCAGAAAATCCAAGACCAGCTGGTATCAAGTTGGAGAATAAGTTCAGTGGGAAGCACACTGTCTTTATTGCTCAGAGAAGAATTCTGCCTAAGCCAACTCGAAAAAGCTGTTCAAAGAATAAGCAAAACGTGTCCCAGGAGCTGCACTCTTGATGGCCATGCACAATGAGATTCTGGAGGGCAGTAAGCTCATAAAGGTTCACCTGGATAAAGTCCAGCAGAACAACATGGAGCACTAGGTTGAAACTTTCTGGTTTCTATAAGCAGCTCATGGACAAGGATGTTAATTTTGAATTCCCAGAGTTTCAGTTGTAAACAAATATGACTAAATAAAATAGCATTCCCAGTTAAAGAACCAAAAATAAAGATTATTACTGCTACAAATCTTTAGGCTTTCTCATTCTGACAGAACCTAGGTTCTATGTCTTGTTACCCTTCTAAAACAGAATTAAAAATCTATTTACTATCTTCATTGTGCATCATGGCAGACAATTATTTTCATTTTAAGGACCTGGACACAAGTCTTTGCATTAGTATTTCCTACATGTAAATAATAGTTTTCAGTACCTACTTTTGAATTTGATGTGTGACTTCAAAGTTGTGTGGAACAAAAGCAATAACAGATTGGTCTAAAAGTTGTATTTTCAGGATGATAATGCTTCATTACTTAATAAGCTTTCTTTAGAAGTTTTAACCAAAAATAATATTAATATGGGACAAACTCATTTTAGAACTATTTAAAAGAAAGCAGTTGAAAGGATTAAAATTTGCCCAGAATAAAATTATTCAAAATATGAAATCAGCTCAAGATCAATTCAAAACAGGAGCTCCTCTGACATTTCAAACAAAGGCATCAGAACCACCAAGATCAGCAGTTTTGCATGTAGAATAACTTGCAGAGAAAAACAGTCATCTGATTGTCTAAGTTCTGTGTGTTATACTGTTATTTTAAAAGATGTCGTTAATACACTATTTATCCCTTCAATTCAGCCATCTAGGCTTTGTAATGGATTATCCTTAAGATTAGGTATGAACAGACAGAGACTAGCTTTGATCTGTACTATTCAACGTCTCATAAAAATACCAGTCATGCACAGCTGGTATGGCTCACTAGTTGAGAATCAACCCATGCATCAAGAGGTTGCTGGTTCAATTCCCGGTCAGGGCACCTGCCCAGGTTGTGGGCCTGATCCCCAGTGGGGAGCATGCAGGAGGAGGCCAATTGATGTTCTCATCAATGTTTCTCTCTCTCTTTCCCTTTCTCTCTAAAATCAATAAAGAAAAAATATTTTCAAAAAAGAACCAGTCATTTTTGTAGATATTCAATGAAAAGTAACTGAATTTTAATAGTTTCTTTTGCAACTTATACTTTTAAAAATTTTTAAATGGATTCTTTTTAGAGAGAGAGAGAGAGGGAGAGAGAAAGAAACATTAATTTGTTGTTCCACCCATCCATGCACTCATCGGTTGTTTCTGGTATGTGCCCTGACTGGGGATCGAACCTGAAACATTAGCGTATCAGGGACGACACTCTAACCAACTGAGCACCCAGTCAGGGCTTATGATATAATCTTATTATGGCAAGATGAATAAATAATAGGAAAGCTATGTTCCTAAGGGTAAGATAAACTATAAAAGTAAATCAATTTTTTAAAGAATGTATTTACCTTAAGTTTATCATGGGAAGTATATGGAGCTTCTGGGGCATAGATTCGAAAGATGTCAGCCAAACAACATGCTACAAGGAGACGTACATCTTTATTGGGATTCCTGAGGAAAAATTCGGATGCAAGATGCAAGGCTAGTGGGAGATACTGCTGTTTTTCATCTTCTGAATCCTGATCCATATCCATAAAAGTTTTTACTACCATCTGTAAACATGTATAAAAAATATATAATCAACACCTGATATTTAGAGATCAGTAGAGGATACATATTTTTTAAAAATTATCATTGCAACATAAATAATCAATCAGTATCAGAAGATTCATAATCAGTTTTGTTAACCTTCATTTAAGAATCTGGGTAAAGATATGAGCATGAATAAGTATCAACTTCTGGATTACTCACAGACACATTATCTGCATTTGCACTAGATTTATGAAGAATATAAGACTCTCATTCACTTTACATCTAGTGCAGGTAAAAGGTTTTTGGCCTCGCCCTGGCTGGTTTGGCTCAGCGATCAGAGCGTTGGCCTGCAGTCCAGAGAGACCCGGGTTCAGTTCCCGTTGGGCACATGTGCCTCGGTTGCAGTTTGTCCCCGGCCCTGGTTGGGTCGTGTGGGTGGCAACCACTCGCTGTGTCTCTTTCAGGTCGATGCTTCTCTCTCTCTTTCCCTCCTACTCTATCTGAATAAAAATATGAAAAAATGTCCTCAGGTGAGGATTAAAAAAAAAAAAGTTTTTGGCTTCATGTGCAAATTCATTTGATATTTGCAGTATCACTGATTATGTTTATTTTAATTTTATTATCATAGTTGCCTTGACTTAGGCTCCTTAAAACTGCTATTTTATCTCACCCTTTAAGAGGTTTGCAATTCATGAGGAGGAGGGGTCAATGGGAGAAAAAAGGGGGGACATCTGTAAAACTTTCAACAAAAAAGATTAAAAAAATTGAAAAGAGGTTTGCAATTCACAATAGAAAGCCACATTTAAATATTTTTATGTAGTTGTACTTCTGATTAAAACCTTTAATTATAAAATAATCACTGTTGTTATTTATAGTTACAAAATTAACAAATACACATTTTAGAATTACTCTAAAACAAACAAAAAAGTATAATTTAAAAAACCACTAATTTCTCAACTTCAGAAAATAATCACTATTTACATTTATGTCTATTTTATGTTGGTTTGTTTTCTCTTAAAGATACAAATAACCAGCCCTGGCCAGTTTGGCTTAGGGATTAGAGCGTCGGCCTTCGGTCCAGAGAGATCCGGGTTTGGTTCCCGCCAAGGGCACGTACCTCGGTTGCAGTTTGTCCCCGGCCCTGGTCGGGGTCATGTGGGTGGCAACCACTCCATGTGTCCCTTTCATGTCGATGTTTCTCTCTCTCTCTCTCTCCCCCTCCCACTCTATCTGAACCAAAAAATGGAAAAATGTCCTCGGGTGAGGATAAAAAAAAAAAAAAAAAGATGCAAATAACCATACTATAATTCTTTACTCATTTATCAAATCATGATCATGTCCACATGCCTTCAAATTTCTTTAAATAAATCAGACTTCACTTAACCAGTCACCATCGTCAAACACTGAATCTGTACATCTATTTCTATTTTGCCAAGACATTTAATCAGAAGTATTGAATTTTATCAAATATTCTTTCTGTGCCTATTGAAGTGATCATTTTTCTACTAATTCTGTTAATAGAGTAAATGTCACTGATTGATTTCCTAATTTTAATCCAAGTTTGCATTTGTAAAATCTAATTCTAGTCCAAGTTTGCCTTCTAAAATAAAGCTGACTAGGTCATAACACTTTTTGTATATTGCTAGATGTGACTCACTATTATAAAGGGTGGGGGCAAAAGTAAGTTAACAGTTGTTTATATAAAAATACATTAATAAATAATAATACAAGAATAAACTCTGTGTTTCAGGTACTCATAACTGTAAACCTACTTTTGCCCCACTCTGTATTGTTTTAATTTTTGGCAATTATATTGATGAAATAAATTTATAGGAGTATTGAAGTTAAAGCTATACTTAAGGGAAATGTATAGCCTTATATATACTACAAAAGAAGAAGGAATAAAAAATGAGTGAGCTATATTTTCATTTCAAAAAGTTAAGAAAATAACCCTGGCTTGTATTGTCCAGTGGTTAGAGCACTGGGCTGAGGACCAAAGTGTCTTGGGTTTGATTCTGGTTAAAGGCACATACCTTGGTTATGGTTCAGTCCCCGGCCCTAGTCAGGGTCATGTGGAGGTGACCAATTGTGTCTTTCTCACATTGATGTGTCTGTCTGTCTCTATCTCTCCCTCCTCCCCTCCCTTTCACTCTATCTAAAGATAAATGGAAAAAAATATCCTTGGGTGAGAATTAAAAAAAAATTTAAGAAAATAACAAATTGAATAAAAAGAAGGTAAAATCAAAGAGGGAAAAATCGAGAACAGACATCAATGAATTGGAAAATAAACATACAAAAGAGAAAAACCAACAATGCCAAACACTGATTGTTGAAAAATTATAAAAAAGAGGACACATTAAAGATGTTCAAGCCTGGCCGGTGTGGCTCAGTGGTTGTGCATCAACCAACGCACCAAAAGGTCTCCGGTTCGAATCCCAGTCAGGGCACATGCTCAGGTTGTGGGCCAAATCCCCAGTGGGGAACATGCAGGAGGTGGCCAATTGATGTTCTTTCTCAATGATGTTTCTATCTCTCTCTCCCTCTCCTCTCCTCTCAAATCAGTAAAGAAAAAACAAAAAAAGATGCTCAACATTACTAATTGTTAAGCAAATGTAAATCAAAACCAATAAGATACCACCTCACACCTATTAGGATGGCTATTGTCAAAAAACAAAAAGTGTTGGCAAGAATATGAGAAATTAAAAAAAAGAAGACATATGATTACACATCCTAATAATAATACATGGGGGGAGGGGGGGGGACCTGTCACATGAAATAGAATATCTGACAAATCCTACTTCTATGAAAAGAAACCAAATCCAAAATTAAAGATCCCTTTCCACAAAGAAATCTCCAATGCCTGATAACTTCACCAATGAAAAATACTAAGCCCTGGCCAATATGGCTCAGCGGTTGGAGCGTCCATCTGCGGTCCAGAGAGACCCGGGTTCGGTTCCCGCTAAGGGCATGTACCTCGGTTGCAGTTTGTCCCCGGCCCTGGTTGGTCATGCGGGTGGCAGCCACTCGATGCGTCTCTTTCACATCGATGTTTCCCTCTCTCTTCCTCTCTCTCCCTCCCACTCTATCTGTACAAAAAATGGAAAAATGTCCTCAGGTGAGGATAAAAAAAAAAAATACTAAGACAACTACGTATAGATATGTATAGCTATTCTGCTCAAAATATCAAGCCCCTCCCTGCCACTCTGCTGTTGGAACTTTGTATCTTGGTTTAGTTACATAGTCTCAGTCTATCAGAATCTGTTTTTAAAATACAAACATCCCCATGACAGTTAATAGCTAGTAACCCTTGTATCTTGGTAACTTACTAACATTTTAGTAGAAATTGTTATCTAGTTGGAAACAAGAATGATACAGAAGATAAACACATGAAGTTTAGGAATCCTTAGAGAAGTAAAGAGTATGAAAATGAAAGTTTTGCCCTGGCCGGTTTGGCTCAGCGGTTAGAGCATCGGCCTGCGGTCCAGAGAGACCCGGGTTCGGTTCCCGCTAAGGGCACGTACGTCGGTTGCAGTTTGTCCCCGGCCCTGGTCGGTCGTGCGGGTGGCAGCCACTCGATGTGTCCCTTTCACATCGATGTCTCTCTCTCTCTCTCTCTCCCTCCCTCCCACTCTACCTAAAATAAAACAACAACAAAAACAACAACAACAAAAAAAGAAAATGAAAGTTTTGAAGAGATCAAATATACTTTGGTAGAACTAGCCTGGCCACCCGAAACCAATTTATGTAGAACCCTTCTACACAGACATAATTCATCTAACCTTAACCAACAAAACTCATATTTACAGATGAGTAAACTAAGAAACCGTTTAAATCCTCATGCAGGTTGACAAACGTCAAAGGAGAGAGCATGCAACCATAGAGATATTTGGATTTTATCTTACAGACAAGAAAGAGCCACTGAATTGTTTTCAGCAATAGCATAATATGGTCAGATTTGCATTTCATGAAGTCTTCTTCAGTTAACAGGTAGCCAATAAAGGAATGCCTCACAAGGTTGAGTGACCCATGAAAGCTAACACAGCAAGACTTTCAAGTCATTAGAGACATCTAACCAACTATTCTGAAGCAGTCAGAGCAAGTTCAGTGGGAGGTTAGAGATGAACTGAAATGGACAAATTGTACCCCTAAATGCCATAACTAAGGAGTTTTAAATAAAATTATATAGGATATGGGAGTTACAAAAAATGCCTTTTGTAAGTTGAAAAGATGAAAGATGTGTATTTGTCATCTATTGATATGTAACAAAATATCCCAAATAATAATAAACAATAATAAACATTTATTTACCACACAATTTCTGCAGAAAAGGAATTGGAGTGTGGTTAGCTGGGTGGTTTTGGCTTGGAATCTCTCATGAGATTGTATAATCAGTCAAGGTTATAGTTATCTGAAGGTTTGATTTGTTGAATTATGAATGAAAGGACTAGTTCAGACTATCTCTACATGTACACTAATCTTTCTTTTTATTTTTAATCCTCACTCAAGGATATTTTTCCACTGATTTTTTTTTTTTTTTTTATAGAGTAAAAGGGAAGGTGGGGGAAGGAGGGAAAAAAGGGAGGGAAAGAGAGTGCGAAAGGGAGAGAAGGACATCAACTGGTTGCCTCCTGCAGAATTCAAACTGGGGCCAATGATTCAAACCCCAAACTGAGGTATATGCCCTTGACTGAGAATCAAACCCTTGATTCTTTGGTCCGCGAGCTAGGGAAGCTCTAACTGCTGAGCCAGGACTGTGCATTAATCTTTCAACAACAACAAAAAAATCTGCTCATATGGGGTTAAAACATGTAAGTTTTGGAGTTCAACAAGCCCTACAATTTTTATATCAGTGGTGATTCACTCACTAAGTATACACACATGGACTGCAGGTAAGACTGAGCACTGAACTATTTGCCAAAATATACTACTTTTGCCCTAGTCAGTTTGGCTTAGCTGTTAAAAGCGTTGGCCCGTGGACCAAAGACTCCTGGGTTCGATTCCAGCCAAGGGCACGTACAGT